TCTTTAAGGGGTTTTAATTTCTTTGCAAGCAGCTTGGATGAAATTCAGGCAGATGGTGTAGATGTCAGATCTACTAAGAATCAACCCCAGACACAGCTACCAGGAGAAAAAAATTAAACTTTTATACAAATAAAAGGAGAAAAAGTTCAAATAATCAAATTATAAGTATATAATATGGCTTTCACTTTAGTAACATTCCTGTATTTCCTTTTCCTCTAGGTTTAAGCAAGCAGCTACTCCACTCTTTGTACCATTAATCACGCTGTGAATCTCCTGATTAGATGTTTTGGAGGTGTATGTCCTGAAGAAAGGGAAAGCCAATTGAAATTCATGGATCTGTAGCTCTAGGGTCTAATCCTCTTCTATCTGAATAACAATTTAGACAAGAAAGAGGAGGGCAAACCCCATAAAAGAACAGCAAAAGTAAAAACACAGTGCTGGGCTTAGTGCCCTCTCTTACGTGTAATCCAAGGAAAACAAGTCCATGGGAGTGTCAGCTACAGCAAGATGTTGCACACCTACACCATCCTCAGGCTGAGGCAGCACCAGCCAGGGCTGCCTTAGCTGGAGACCTGAAACAACAGAGCAAAATTAGCCTTGTCTGCTACACCAGGTTCTTATTAAGAACAAGAGGCAGAAAGACATAAAAGACAAGAAATAAAGTAAGTAAGGAAAAGAAGACAGGGAAGGAGAGGGGTCGTAGTAGGAATGCAAATTTCACTTATCACAGAGTGTTCCAAATTAGATGAAGACAGTAGAACTGGCATTATCAGATCCCCTTTTATGGTCTGTTTTGGACTGCTCATGCCTTGCAATCAGGGCAGTGAAATCCTATAGTGTCCAAATGGATCCTGTCGTCTCTGACGATGCTGGGAGCAGTAACCCTGACTGTAAATCTCACACCTTTCAATTAAGCTGGTTTTTTGGCATCAGTGTCAAATCAAATTTCCTCCTGCTTCACTTGCCCAAAGAAAGTCATGACTGGAACAGCACATACCCTTCATATTTTGTCCAGTATTCAAACCCAGCTTCTCGGTTATTAATTTTAATCCACTGATTTCTGATCTTGGGTTTCTGTTGATTACCATACATAGTCTCCACATCATTGAATCCTGTAGATAGGAGTCCTCATTCATTTTCTCTCAAGTTTTTAATTATTTTTAAAAACAATGTGATATAAGTGGTTGAATAAAACAGTGGATAATACTGCACAAGAAAAAAATATCACAATTTAAAATAAGGACACAGTGTCCTCCATGGTTTTTAGGCAGGGAATCTATCTTAAGGAATCTGACACTTTCACACTGAGTAAAAGATTTTACAATTGAGTAAAAGTTTTTTTTACAAAAAAGGGATTTTACAAATCCGCTTTTACTATTGCCACCCCTAACATCAATTATTTCATGTTCTGGGGATGATCTCTGTGATTTCTAGAAATCTTTACAACATTTTTCAGCTGCATCTTTTCTACGGCAACAAATCAAGCTGTTGGTATACTCCTTTTGAGAAGCAAATAGATGGAACATTGGGGTACAAGAGATTTTGGCTCTGTGTGGATGACTGGAAGACTGCTTTCATTACTGTGGTTATAACTAACTTTTTGGAAAGGTCTGACTCCTCTCCTATTGATGCTAGGGACAGAACAAACTCTAATTTCATTGGAAACAGCATCAGGCCCCATAAATCACTAGTACATTTCATCAAAATAATTAACGAGACTGAAAAATTCTCTAGTAACACTTGGGAAATCCTCACAGCAGCACTGCCCTGTTAAATGATAAAGCCTGTTTTGGGCTGAGTGAAAAAAATAGGACTCAAGGAACATTTTAACATCATTATTTGTACTCTCTATAGAAAAAAGCTGCCATTTCTTTCATCCTTCTGATATGTCTCTACTTCTAAATTAGAATCTGAATTAGAATTACACAACACCTGGCATGCTCAGGATGAGAGATGCACTGCACATTGATATGAACAGAAAATATCCAACTGATCTTACACAAAGTTTGTAAATCACTATTGAAATAGCTTTACCAGAAACACCCAGAAATTTGCTATTAACATTTTTCTTACCAAAAGAATAATGGCTTTAAGGTAATTCATTAAATTCTATAATCTAAAAGAGAAAGAGGACTTGCCACTGCTGTTCAAATCTGAAAATGGCACATCTCGTTTCTCGTTTATTGGTTTGGCACATACCATGAATAGAATAGTACTAATTTCATCCTAATATCTAGAAAATCAAGAATTTTCCATTTATGATAAATCCATAGGTTTACAAATACAGTCTGATAATCCTATTGTGGAATGACAGCCAACCAGCCATGACAAAGTTCCATTTTAAACTCCTTCCTGCTTGTGAAGGTAGTTTGAGCTTTGACAGACACGATCTAGAGAGAATTAGTGCTCACATAATTTACTCTGGGATGCTATGCCTTATTCTTCTGCCAGCCAGCAAAGACAAAAGGACACGAAGCTGGAGATAATGATACTCTGAAATGCTATTTTTTAGTGCTCAGCAGTCAAAAGCCTGAATTCACTGTCTTCCAAAAATGCAGACAGAGGAGCAACAGTATTTTCATAGGCTTTGTGCTGTTATTTGCAAACTAGTGAATCTGAAATTCTCTGGTGTTGCTCCATTAAAATGCCAGCTCTGAAAGACCTGGCACATTACTGTGTATGCTCCAACTTTCCGTGGTTCCCGGAAGTTTTGGCCTTGTACCACCGGCTGTTGTAATGGTCAGTTTGTTTGCCACAGTAAAGGCTCATAACTTTTGTGGTTTCTCAATGCTATATTTTCTACATAAACCTTAGCTTATGTCTTGCTCAGATTATTCAGTGATTTTGCAATTCCAGCATCTTATATAAATCTCTCTCTATTTTTTGTATTTTTCTCAATCAGCTTGGATAATCACTTTGCACTGCCTAATTTTGCAATATCAGGCACATACAGCAGTTCACAAACAGCACACAGGCAGCAAGACTCCATGAGCATTTGGTAATAACTGCAAGTCAGTAGAAGTCCCCATAGGTTTACAATTGTTTTATCAGACACATCAGACTTCATTTTCAGCCTTCAGACTTTGTATCCTACCCATCTCCTGTAATGTCCAAGGCAGAGCAGTGTGTGGTACAATACCAACATGCAGTTCCTGTCAGCACTGCATGGCTCACATCTACTGTGACAGATGCTATAAAGAATACATTAGATCTTTATTCCCGGTATAAAGTTACGTTAGACATCACCCAACCCATAAAATGCCTCAGCTGTACCCAAAAGAAGGGCTGACTTCACTATATAGCCTTTCCATCTCATCAAAGAAACCGTGCCATGAGCAACACTCATATGCTATTCTGACAATGGCATTTTGCTGGTTTTGGCTGGGTAGAGTTAATTGTTTTCCATAGTACCTGGTGTGGGGCTGTGGTTTGGGTTTGTGCTGAACAGTGTTGATAATTCAGGGATGTTTTTGTTATTGCTGAGCAGAGCTTACACAGAGACAAGGCCTTTTCTGCCTCTCACCCCACCCCAGCAGCGAGGAGCTGGGGGGACACAAAGAGCTGGGAGGGGACACAGCTGAGACAGCTGATCCCAACTCACCCAAGGGATATCCCAGCACATAAAGCTGGGGGAAGGAGAAGGGAGGGGGGACATTCAGAGTGATGGTGTTTACCTTCCCACATCACTGTGGCACATGATGGAGCCCTGCTGTCCTGGGGATGGCTGAACACCTGCCTGCCCAGGGGAATTGGGGAATGAATTCCTTGGTTTGATTTGTGTATGTGCACGGCTTTGCTTCACTTATTAAACCACCTTTATCTGAGTCCATGGGTTTCCTCCCTTTTACTCTTCTGATTCTCTCCCCCATCCCACCAGGGTTGTGTGGGGCTTTGTTGCCAGCTGGGGTTAAACCATCACAGTATTTTACAAAAAGAGACAGAAGTAAAAGAAAAGTACCTCCAATGCATCAGGAAATTTTTCATGGAAGAACTGCCTTTACCTCTGACTTTTCATACTGTTATGACTCATAAAGTAACTTTCTGAAGGACTACATTCCACAGGAGAACCTCTTCTCTAGCACAGGTGCTCAGTTGATAACATTTTGAGAGAACTGGTAGAAGGTCAAGAAGCCAGTTATAACACCATTAGATATGAAAAGGGCTGTATATAAATTCCCCAACAAAATGCATTACATTTTAGTAATCTTTTAAAATTGCAATTGTGACTGGCATTTTAAATAAAATATCAAAAATCAAGCAGCATTTTTGATAAGATGAACAGTTTAAAATACCAGACAACTTTCTGTTGCTGGTGTATAGGATGCGTAGAAAAGAAAATCTAGTCTCTACTTTTACCAAGTGACATGGTACGTTTTAGTCGGTCAAGGTTTTAAGCAATGAAATTCTATACAGTAACAGGGTTTTTCTGCATACTGGTTAAAATATGTTGAAATTATTCCATCTATGTTTATTTCTCAGTTTTATTTATGGCTTAGTTTCAATTGCCTCTTTTAATTACTTTTCCCCCAACAGCTTATTTCTGTGCATTAAATAACAAGTTTAGGAGTTCTTTTTGAGGATCTGTAGTTACAGGTCATCCTGAAGGATCTCTGCAGTATTTCACTGTGCTTATTAAACTTAAAAATGAACACTTCAAAGAAGTCAGGAATATTTTACTATTAAATCACACGTGTTTGCTGAGTTTGCCTTTGGAATTGCAAAACCTTTACGTTGTTACCAGCTGATGGGTTCCCCAGTGACTGCAATCTTCGAGTTCTGATCAAAACTTAAAGAAAGAGCAATAACTAGTAATTTTAGAAAGTGTAAAGCAGCTGACGAGAGTGATATAATGCCACTACAGGACCTCCTGGATGAAGCAGCAAAACCCACATAAGCATCTCTGGGGGACGTTCCGTGAGCGAGGAGCGAGCGCTCGGTGCCGTAGGTGCTGTGGGAGCAGCAGTTCCCTGGCCAATGAGGTGGAATGCTCTGCGGGCACATGGTTTACGCTGCTCAAAATAACTTGGGACCTGCAAACTGACAAATGCGATTGCTCCGGTGGTGACAGGTTGTCCGGCTCCTCACAGCCATCCTCACAATAACGAAGGTTAACTTCCTTCGCTCCATGGACTCCGAGCTGTTTCTGTTCCTGAGGACTTGAAGAATTCCCTCGCTTCCTCAGCTTTAACCTCACGCTTCTGGATAATTGTCGCCGCTACTGACTGCCAGGGTTGGGCAGCAACATCTGGAGGAATTGAAAAAGGTAATCCCTCAACTTTAGATCGGGATACATTTTGATTTTGCAGCAGCGTAGAAGAGTTTGATGAGCATGTATATTTGAGTGCTAATTATAGCTGGTAAGGCATATACAGGGGACAAATAATTTTTAAAGTGACTGGTTTAAATTGTGCTGGGGCATGTGCATTGCAGTGAAAAGGAAACAGTGTTCTACAGCATTATAAAGGACTTGAATAGCACTAGTGGGGTTCTCAAAATCCCTTGGAGCCAGTCTGACTGCTCCAAAGAGTCAACAAGATTCTAATGACCTGAAAAGTTCCTTGTGGGACTGTGTTCTTCGTCCCGCTTATCTTGCCTCCAAGTTCTGAAACATTTGTGTTCTGGTATTCAGCCTCAAACAAAATTGCCATAATTTGGAATTCCTTCTTAAGCAAAATCAAACCTAATTTAACGAGGTCCCCATAGTTAAATGCTTTCTATTTATTTATTTATTTATTCTGTCATGTAAAATGACCCTTGTGCTATATTTAGTGCAGGGAGATCTGCTCTCTGGATTAATGTACACAACAGCTGCAGAAACAGTCCTACTAGAAGGGCATAGCTCTCACCCTTGAGCTCTCACTATCTCCCTTGCTCTCTTTCTCTCTCTCAGAAAAGTATTTGACTGTCAGTAGCAAATGTTTGGCCCAATATATTGCAACATTAAGCAGTAATCAGAAGCCCATATTTAGTTTTATCAAATAATATGCCAACGATTGACAAGAGAACAGAGTAGCTCTTGAGAGTATGTCAATAGGACATTATACAAATCATGCTAAAGACACTGATTACTTTATCAATAGCTCTGTTTTGGTCATGAGGTTTACATTTGTGAAGATGCTCTAGAATTTAAGAGTGAAAACAAAATCAGCAAACGTTAATGGTACGAATTCATAAACTTCAACTCTGCTCTTCTCCCTCTCCTGCACTTCCTGAAAGTTCCTAAGGTCAGGTTATTTCTTTTTGTCTGTCTTTTTGTTTGTTTGTTTGTTTTTTTCAAAAACAGCTAACAAATTTAAACAGCAATAGCAAGTGTGTTAGTTCCTGTAGCTGAGCAGAATGATATTTACATATCAAAAATTATTTCTGGTCAATTCAGGAGTTAGTTAGGTCCTGCATTTGCCAGAGTACCAAACACGAAGGGGAACTGTGTGCTCTGTGCTGATTTTTTTACCCCTGTGCATTCTTTAGAGATTTTACAGCAGATCTTGCTGTGGTACTGAAAGAATGTTTCTTATCAACAGCTGCTGAGAATTAGCAGTCTAGGTATATTTGCTCATAAATACAACATTAAGATAGTTTGTTAAAAATTTATACAATACCATAACTGCAATTGGGCAATGCAATGTCAACTGTAACTTAAATCACTGGGGGGGGGGGAGAGAAAAAAATCAGTTTACTTTTCTGTTTAAAACTTCACTGGTTTAGTGCTTGTTTTCATAAACAGGAATAGTCTAAGGGATGGGAAAATTAATTCCGCCTAATATAAATCTCATTTAAACATTGTAGTTTAAAAATATGATCCAAACGTGAAAGCTTTTATGTTACAATGTTCTGAGGGAAAGCCAGTGAAAAGGCATAAAAAGGACAGAACAGTGGACAAAAAGAAAGAAACACTGTGAGGAAAGGCTTGTTGCCTGTTAGTTATATTTTTCCATTGAGGACTTCTGTATGTACATTCAGCATCAAACTGTGGATCTCTGCTGCATCTTTTTTGGCCTTTCATATAAACTTTTTCCCATGTGGGCAATCCCTGAAGGAAACTGGACTATACACATTACTTGAATCAACAAAAACTTGTCCTACGTTACAAGCACTTAAAGTACACTCAGAACTTCTCTTAACATCTGAGGTCTGGCTGCACAGGTCGCTGGGAGAGGAGGATGAAGAAGCATCCCAGGCAGGCGTCAAAGACAGCCATCACCTGTCTTCATGTCTGACCTTCTAATTTAAAAATCAGCTTCAATTTATTTGTTTCAATTTGATGTTATATGGAGTTCCTTCAGGATATTGTTTACCTTGCAGTTCAAGGAGATTCACTGAGAAGGCAAACAGAGCTTGAGACATGGCATAAAGGTTCTCAGTTCTCATTTTGAGAACTATTTAGGGACAATATTAATTATGAAAAAATTAAGACTTTTTGTGCTCAGACTAAAAAAAAAAAATTAATTATGTGAGAGTATGAAGGAAATGTTGAAAAAGTTAGTGAGTGTTGAACGTGCTTTTTCCCTGAAGCAGAGTTCAGTATTTTCTACTGCTTAGGGTGTCCAATACTGTAACAGTGAGGCCACGGGCCAGGGCAAGACTCCAAGTGCACATAGGGCTCTTGCAGTGTCTATTGCAGAGTAACTTGGAGAAAGGATTTATCCCATCCCATTTTGGAGGGATTTTGTTTCCATCAGAAATTGTTACGCTCCTGAGCCTGGAGGCTCTCTATTTTCCATATTTAATCACATTACTTGGAAATGAGAGTTTAGTTATCTGACTCATTACAAGGAATGGAATTCAAAACCACTAATGTGTCTAAAACAGAAAAGTACACCCCCTTCTTCTACACAGCTTTCCAAACACAATTTTAAAAATATCTTACACTCACACCCGCAAACACACACAGAACTGCTAATCTTAGTCCTCTGCTCCAGCCTAACCTTTCCTATGTCTGGAGTCTCGACGTCTGTCTCGCAGCAGCTACAGCTTGTCAACAGGCAGTAAGGAAAATGGTGACAATGGCAACTGCTACATGAGAATTCCTGCAAGCACAGGAGAATGTGATTGTGATCATCAAACATCTGCAAGGCAGACCACTTGAGTCATCTCTTAGCTTGTTTTTCGCAGCCTGTAATCATACAGTTGAAACACTCCATAACAGTCTGTAGGTAAATGCAATTTATGTGCAATTAAATTAATCGTGAAGTGGATATAGCCTCTGATATCTGCTAAACTTCCCAATTTCCAACTGAGCTGCTGGGCACGCAGTGTCTTGCTGTGTAAAGGTAACAAAGGTGCCTCAAGGCAGAGCAAGAAGCAGCAGTTTGAGAGCTGTTCTGATGCTGGGTTTCATACAAAAGCACTCTCAGTAAAAGTAATGATAGTTTGAAAAGCTAAGACAGGAACAACATGTATTGACCAGAATTTCCAACTACAGCTGAAAGCCAAAGATGTTCAAATGCTTTTTGCATTAAATCTGCTATTTACATATAACCTGTTTATTATGACACAGAAGGGGAGTTTGAAAAAACATCTTCAGGGCATCAAGCATTTGAAGCTGTCTCTCACCAAATAAAATAGAGATAGATCAGACATATCTGGGATTCCCTTCAGCTTTGCTGAGATTTCACTAGTGCTGTTTCCTTAGAAAAAGCTCAGAATCTTTCAGTGATGACTCAGCAATGAGTCTAACAAGCCTCAAACAAGAGGAAATGAAAGTGTTTGGTGTTATGCTATGCAAGATCCTTGCAGTGCAATTTTCCTCCCTTCCACGTAAGGATTTTCGGGTCAAACCACTGCCAAAACAAAGAGTGGGAACTAATTCTACCTTTGTGAATATTTAATCCTAAGGATCACTTGGCTAATAAGAGAACATTGCCATAAATATGGGTTCTTGGAAACCCAGTTGGCTAATGGAAACTGAATTAGTAGATGGAAGAAGTTCATGGAGTTAGTTTTGTTCATGGCATCCTCCGTGGCCTCTTAAGATAACGGATGCCCAAGGTGACTCCTTGTGTCCCATGAAAGGAAAAATGTTGCCCTCAGTGCACTGGTTTGGTGCTGTAGGTTATGAGCCAGTCAAGAGCAGAGAACTGCAGGCTGCTGGAATCAGTCATCACATTTTCCATCCTAAATAACACCAGTTTAGAAACATTATTTGTAATTAGCACTGCAATTGATACTGATTCATCACGACAATTTCCAGTCAGCAAAATAACTGGTGCTTTCATTGACACCACAGACACCTACTGTGTTTTTACTAGTTTGTCCTTCTTACTGCTTGCTCAACAGTTTTCTGCAGTTATCTGCACTTCTGTGCTCAACACAGACATCTGCAGTTCCTGCATACATTTTGCCAGCTCCACGACATGGTGTGCTGTGCTGCTGCTCAGTGCCAGTGTCCTGTGCCACTGCACACAGGGATGGTTTCTCTGCTGCTACAAAGACAGTTCTGTTCCAAAGTCCCGGTCAGGAGAAGTTAAAGGGAAGGCTCAAGGCATATCAAGGCCAATTCTACATCTCAGTCTAAACAAAGAGAAAGACTGAATTCAAGATCTTAAGTTCGAAGCTTAGATTCCAATTTTGGCTAAAGAAGGGCTAAATTATTACTAATTATCATTAGTCAGATTTGTAATAGGATAGTTGTTCCTCTGGTCATGCCTCTTCACTCACAGAAAAAGATGGTTTAATAGATATTTGAGAAAATATATTGAATTCAGCCTTACTGCCATCTAGCCCAGAGACCCTCTCAGGCTCTATGCTTGGTCTCCTTTCAATAAAAGCTGTTGTTCCCCGACTGTGAAATGTAAATGGCTCAGCTTACCCAGTGCTTCCCTCATCATCAGCCCTCTGTAGTCCTTGGATAGTACAGATCCTTGTAGGAAAGGAAAAAGAAAAAAAAAAGGAAAAAAAAGAAACTGGACATCTCTCAAGGCATGAGCAAGGCAGAATTAATGGGATTCCCTGGTAGCCTAACAGCAACATTTGCTGAAACTTAACACTTTCCATTTAATTAAAAATACCACATAATTCAAAATATTTTAAAAATTCAGTAGCCAAGCACTGCTACATTTGACTAGAACCCAACTTCTTCCTTACTAAAAATAGAATTAATAAGTTATCTTCTAGACAAGCTGAAAATAGAGAAGAGTTAGGTATAAAATTCTGACTGAAATGTTTAGGGTGAGCTCTAAAGAAAAGTGACTCTCTAAGTAGTAAGAATCTGGCATCAGATTCATTCTTATGAATATCTTGCTTCCCAACGCAAGAAGGAGAATTCTGCTCCCTTCTACCTCTTCTGCTTCAATGGGCAGAAGGAAGGAAGCTGTTCCAGGTCCTTTGCTGGGGAACTGTTTTTCTCCTTTTGCTATCAGACAGTGGCTCCTTCACTGAACCTTTTTTTTTCAAACTAGAATTATAAAACTATTTTGCCAATCTAAACACATCTTTGAGAGTATCTCCTTATATTGCAGTAACACTCCTTAAACAAATCGGCAGAAATTATTTCTTTCGTGTTTCAATGCTTTGTTCAAAAGACGAATAGAAGATATGCAAGACCCAGAACAAAGTCTCAAATAACCACACTGAACAAACACTTGTTTTATAAGGGTTACCTGCAGAAAAGCTGTACTGTGATAAACAACCTCTGTTCAAATATACATAGCACTTAAATGAGAAAATCAAGCAATATCTGTACAACAGAGGAAAATAAAACCCTGAATAGTCTCAGTTGGATAATTTTCACATATTCTTTCAACAAAATCATTCTTTAAGTTCATTTGACTTCAGCAGGTTTTGATCACACATCCTTCCCTACCTGCCTTTCCTCCTTAGTGTGTCCAGTGCTCTCTAAAGACCTGTATCATCTTTTTTCAGTGTCTGATGACCTTTACAAACGCTGAGATGAACCGAGGATGTGCCACTCTGAAAGAGTGGCCAAGAAATGTAGCAAGTTAAACTTTGCCACCATGTAGAATATGCACTTCTCCAGCCATATAAAATACAGCCTTCCACTGTGGCATCTAAAGCTGCAAAGAGCTGGATGATATAATCCGGGTTAGAGGGGTTAGCAGGGAGCTGCATCCCGCAGGAGAGAATTCTGGGAGGCTGCACATCCTCTAACATCCCGCTAAAGCACACGCTGCTCTCTTCTTGCAGGCTCAACCAGCAAAAAGAAGGGGCAGAGGAAAGAGCTGCCCATGGCTCTGCTTCTCCCCTTCCAATTTTCAGCAGGGAGGAGGCCCCTGTTACAGGGAGGCTCCGGGGCTGCACTTTATTCATGGCACAGGTCTCACTTCCAGTCTGTAAGCGCCTTATGTTAGAACGTATTTCAGCCCTTTGGAGTTGAAACTATAGCTTTAGCTGTGACCTTTACAGCACATAGTATGTGATCAGCACATAAACAAGCTAATCTAACCCCTTAACCATATTCTGCTTCAGTAAGGTGGCACAGCTGCCTAAGAAGTTAAAGCTGAGCAAGCAAAAGTAGTACCCACGGAGCAGGAACTTTAAGCCTCTTTGTATTCTTAAGAGGTTAAATTACAAGCTCTGTCCAGTCACGGAACAGCTTACAACATTATCTCATGTGGGCTTCCCAAATCAGTGTTCTCTGTGCCACAGCTTCACTGAAACACTGTGCCAGATAATTTAATGCCAAGTGTTCAATTAGGATCACAGACTCTGGTTCACTTGCAGGGACTACACTGGGTGCTTAGAAGCATATAATTTATATGGCATTTTATTTATTATTTTTTTACAGGCAAGAACTTAGCAATATTTTAGTTGGGTGCCTTTGCAGTCTTACTGATTTTCCCTGTTTCATATTACGAAAACAAAGCAAAATCAATAAATCTAAAATGCCAGATATTTACACAAGAAAAAGAGTTTCTATATAACAAATTGAAGAAGAATATAAAGAGTTTAAATTGGAACTTTCTTTTTTGTAAATAAGGAACAAGGGCTGTCACTCACCTTCCAGGATGAAATATTGCAGCAGTATGAGATATTATCGATTCATTTTTTTTTACCAGCTTTTTTCCAGGGACAACTGTCCTGCTAGAAAAGCCAAAAGCCTTTTACAGCAGAGATACCTTTTTAAATTTTCTTTCTCTGGCAACTTCAGCAGTTGCATAAGGCTATGAATGGAAATGGCCAATGCCAGGGCATGGATGTTCCCTTCTCTTGATGCCATGACACAAACAGAACCCTCTGCAGTGCGACAAACCAGACACCTTAGAGCAGGAATATTTGAAACCATCACAGCAAGACTTGCCAGGCCATAAATGAAGCAGGAGAGAGATAATAAGCACTGCATATTCTGAGAGACTGATCCAGTAAATAGTCATGTACTTGTTTCAGTATCTGTGAGATAACAGCTCTCTGAAAGGTGGTAAAGGGCAGTTGTCTTCATATTTAGGCCACCTTAAGATGAGTGTGTTAACAGGATACCTGAATCCCTCTGCTTTCATAATGGCTCTTGTGGAAATAAAAGGGACAATATTATGCAGACCTACTTGCTTCAGCATGGAAAGGGATTCTTTAGCTTTGCTTATTGAGCATGCAGGTTAAGTACAGGCTTTCTAATACAGTCTTCTCATGTGGTGTATTTTTCAGAATCAGGATGACCTAAGATAATGATTTTGAAAACCCTGCAGTACAAATGATGTTTGTATCAAATCATGACATAGTTCTTTACTTTAAATAGCTTATTAGAAATAATGATGAATTTAAGAAGGTATAGAACATTTAGCACCATTACCGCCTCCTATCATGCAATATCTTTAGGAGTTTTAAATGAAAAATTGTCATTATTGAATATTTTTGTTCTTTTTCCTTCCTTCTCATGTCCCTCAAATGTTTTTGAGGGTTCATTTACTTACTACTGCAGTGCCTTTCAAGCTAAATTTACTTCATTTAAAAGTACTGTTATTCTCTCACAACTTTCAGTCCCTGAAATATCCAACACTTCACCTGTCTGACGAGGTTGTTTCTTAGCTAAATTAGCTCAGTTGGTCAGACCACGGTGCTCATAATGCCAAGGTCACGGGTTCCATCCCTGTACAGGCCATTCACATAGGAGTTGGACTCCTTGTGGGTCCCTTCCAACTCAAAATATTCTGTGACTATCTGAGATTTGACATTGAAACTCAGTTAACAGCTCTGTAGTTGAAGTTTTGCCTGGAACAGAGTAGAAAATACCACACTTGCAGTTCCTTCAGCTATGTAAGGCTACCTACAGCAGAAAGTGATAAAAGATGAACTTCACTGGGTAAAGGCAATAACATCTGGCAGTATGCACAGAAGCAGGCCTTTATAACAAGGCCATACTTACAATTACTTCAAGTATTACAAGCATTCAGTGCTCAGACACAGTTTGAAAATGTTGTGTTCTGCTTTTCAAAAGCCTGTAATGGTGTGTTCAATCAAAAAATTTGCTACTGATAAGGTGTGGTCCTATTTGTCCTTTTTGTTGGCAGCATGCAAGACGACAGTTTAGAAACCTCAACTTCTATATCTCAGCTTCTGAGAGAGAGTTATTTAGCTGAAACTAAGCATCAAGGGAAGAGCGAAAGAAGCAGATCAGAGCCAGTTTCTCATAATTTCCACTATGGCAACGCTTCTGGTGATTCAGATGAGGTAGCTGCTCAAGATGACCTTCCAGATCTCTCTGCCTTTTTGAGCCAAGAAGAGCTTGATGAAAGTGTAAACCTAGCAAGACAAGCTATTGATCAGAATCCACTGGAAACTAAACAGGATGAGCTTCAGGCACAGTCACAGCATCCTCCAGATCAGCTGAACAACCCGGGAAAACACAAACAAATGGCCCAGTCTACAGCTTTGAAAACGTCAGACAACGGCCTGCACTCCAACTTTTGTCAGGACCATATCAGAAATACAAAGGGCTCCAAAGGGAGCTCTCAAGATCTGAAGAAACATCACCTCCCTTCTGAATCAGAATCCAAAAAGGAATTCCTAAACAAGGCGGCAGATTTCATTGAGGAGCTCTCCTCACTTTTCAAAGCTCACAACTCTGAAAGAATAAGACCCCGAACATGCAAAAACTACAGGAGCAAGATTGATTCCAAGAATAAATCTGCTCAAAAAGGTAGCTCTAGCCTGTCTCTCACATCAGAAAACAGAGAAAGGCTTTCCATTCCAGCATGTCAAGACTTGGAAAACAAAGCAGAAAAAACACTTGAACAAACAGATGATCAACAGGCAGAAAACTTGGAATCTATTAATCAATTAACAAGTGCAGAGCTAAAAACAGAGTCAGAATCTGCATCTGTGTATTCTGATGAGCCTATCGGACAACCACCACGCTTTACTCAGAAACTGAAGAGCAGGGAAGTTCCTGAAGGAACCAAAGTGCAGTTGGACTGCATTGTGGTAGGAATCCCGGCACCTGAAGTCAGGTAAACATATTCTGCACTTGTCATTTTGTATGTCTGTAATGGTAGGTGTATGCCTTCCTCTGTCCAGATATTTCGATGCATGAGTTTGAGTAATCTGCAGCAGAAATCTCCTGGCCTTGGTTACTAAAAACTGATTAAGAAAAAAAATTGCTCTCTACAAAAGGTTGTATATATTTTCAGACAATGTATTTTGGGACATGTTACTTTCTTTGAATTTTAGAGTAATGCTTTTAAATACTGTGCTTCCTTAATTAAAAGAAAGTGTGGAGTCCATAGTGAGAAATGTTAGTTATCTTTATAGAAATCAAGCCTGATTGTGTAAACTAACTAAAAACACTGATGGCTGTGACACCTCGTGCTGATGCCTGAAGCTATCTGAGATGAGAGAACATAGGATCCCAGAAACCAAAAACATCCACACATGAACGGAGAGGAAAGAAGTTCATTTCAGTTATTACACCAGTTATAACCAAAAGCAGCTCAGTTCTAATCCTGATTCTGACAAAGATTCTGCCGAGGCCTTAGAAAAAACATTTCTGTTTGATCAAGTATAAGACACCCCTGTTAATTGTCACTTATTTGTGATGGGTGACTGCTATTTCTGATATTTCTTTTTTCACCTATATCTATGAGGATTTTGAAAGTCAAATAAGTAACACTTGAAAACATCACTGGAGATGAAAGGAAATGTGACAAAGGTACACACATCAATTACATCAATGAAATGAGAAACAGATTACTCTAACTTTTAAATTTATCTTGAAAATTCTTAGATCTCATCAGCATTTCTATATCTAAATTTGTTCACAGAGAGCTCATTAGTCAAATTTACCTCTCGCTTACAGTGGTGGAATCATATTTCCTTCGCTGGGACTGTACCAATCCAAAAGAAAGGAAAACTCTGTCCACCTTTTAGAGATGTACTATACATATTTGCATCCTAATATCTGAAGTATCACACATAGATACCCTTAGTCAAGGTGGCTGCCTATTCTTTTATAGGCATTTTAGAAATCTGTGTTGCTTCTCTAAATATTGAAAAGAACTGTTTGCACCTTCAGCATCTAATGATTTGGACCATTCACAGACAGTTCATATTTTCTAACTGCACTTCTACTCGAGCCAACACCTTTTATCATCTTTCTTACCGAACTAACAGGCACAATCAACAAATGAAAATCATCTCAATGTCCAAACACGGATGTTCCAAAGATTTTTGTGGTAAAGAATCTTTGTCTTCCTCTCCCTTGGATTTCTGGCACACCAGCTGCTAATTTTTCAGAAGGAAAAAGCATTTACAATGCACCATTAATTACATAGGAAGAAGGATCTACAAGTGAATCCACTTGTTATGGACATCTTATCATGGAGGTGTGAAGTTGTCCAGTTCATAGGATCCCTGGACTGTGACTTCCAGACTGCTTTGCCCCACTAGTGCCTTCAGTAGTGACATATAGGTTCTCAATCCGTAACAAGACCTTGACCTGTGGTACCAGACAGGGTCTTTCATGCATGATAGGAATGTGAACTTCCAAAGGACTAAATGATTTGTTTATAGAAGAGGAATTCGCTCTAAAGCTGGGGGAAATACATTGTTTGGGAAAAATATAATTTCTACTGCGCTTCGTGTCTAAACTCACTGCTTTAATTAACAGTTCTGAGGCACTCCCTTGGTGGAGCTTATGGCATTACAAATGCTGTATTACGCTCAGCCCTTAAACTCATAGAGGACTCTGACTAAAAGAGAAAACAATCCCAGAAATTTGGAGTTTTTTCTTAGAAAACAGACAGGAAATACCATCATCCCCTAGATATTAGCAACACTCTCTGAACACTTCTCTTGCATATAAAGACTTTGACTTGTTTCTCCAGGTATTTGCCTTGATAAAACTTTTTGATATTAAAAATGTCAGTAGGATCCCTGGATATGAGAAATATTTTTTTCCTCTCTCATCATACATAGTTTATAATGCAAAGAAAACAAGTGAAATAATCTTCTCTTATGTGTGTATAGACCTGTAGACAAACTCAATCTGGCTTTTGTCATTTTCAGAAGAGAATTCAGAACAGAACAGAAACTGAATTGCTTGTTTACAGACTGTACTCTAGTGCACAATGCTAATTTTATTTATTTCTCCAGAAGGCCACAACCACAGCTCCTCATGATCATGCTGTTGACACACATAAAACTATCGAGGTGTTCCTGCCATCTTTAGGTGTTTAACAACCATCTGAATTAGAAGCTGACACTATAAAGTCACTGAAGCCTTGCAAGGGCAGATTGGAGAACCCAGGAACAATTGTTCAGCCAATGGATTATTCAGGGATGACCAGAATGCCTATACACCCAATTCAGGGACCACTTGATTGCACAGAAAAGGATGATGGGTATCTTTGTAAATTGGAGCTATTTTTGTCACAACAAACCTGAAGTTTTTCATCGAGATTTCTATTTCAACAATTGATTTTGTTCATTTTTATTAATAAAACAAGTTACTTATGTGAATGACAGTCAATACAGGAGCTTCAAAACACTTCTATAGAATAAGCATCCACCAGATGTAGCAAAATAGGGACAGGGAGAAAGAAGTACCATAGGGAAAATCAGTGCCAAGAAGGAAAGCTCAAGAAAAAGATCAGGCTCAGCTTTCAGTTTTACAACTTAAACCAAGAAACAAAAGATAAATCGCAAGGAGTGACTCTGAACTCTCTCTCCCCTTGTGTTTGTGTGTGTACGTGCTGTATTATGGAGAAGGCTGGGAATGTTCACTGCTTGAACAGTTTCCTGATCACAGTTGTTTGTTAACAAAACTTTTGTCCTGTTCATACAAGATTCTTTCACCTCCACTAATGTGTAGGAGTAACACTAAGAAAGGGTGTAAAACATATCACTTGTATGAGTGATAAATGTTCACATGCTTCCAGTGATCTTGGCCTTTTTAGTCACTGTTACAGCACAAGGAAACCAGAAAATATAATGTACTCTGGGGTATGTGTTCCATTAATCTTGGGGACCACAAGAATGCAGGATTTTTTCACTACAAATAGTGCTCATCTTTGATCTGCTGTGTAAAGCTTCCAAAATAGTGAAGGAGGCATCTTGTTAGCCATAGTTGTGGAACTGTGAACAGAACCAGGCTTAGAACAGGCAACTCTCTTGCTTTGAGGATAACAGTTTTCCAAGGTTTGTGGTGAGTTAGTTCAGTATCTGTGGAGGAGGGCAAGGAGAGACAAATTCTAAAAAATAAGAAATAAAAATATCATCAGTCCCAGTAAAGGACTGACTGGCAAGGTAGTAACTGATGAAAGAAAGCTTAATCACCTTTGACTTAAATAGGCTTCCTAGCCACAGAAAAGAATCCAAGGTGCATATATGAAACACAATTGCAATGTAAAAGTGGTACTGTGGGAACCCAGAGCACTGAGAAACAAGAACAAGATTCAACAAGCTCTGTCGTGTAATTACTCAGTCAGCACTAGGAGCAGTCAGATGGTTCAACTGATGTAATGGGGATTATAAGAGAAAAATTAGAGATCTGAGATTTAGAAAAAAGCTGATCACAGGGATGGAAAGGACTGGAAATATGACGGGCAGATACTATGTTTGAAAGCAAGACAGTACAAAACCAAATTGATGTAAAAGGTGGTGTAAATGACAGTCATGATGGATCAGGGCCAAAAGATAATTGGCAATGACAAAGCATTATAATTCACAGGCACGGTAAGTAACTATGTAGCATGTATGAGGGCTCACTGAGGGACAGAAGATTGAATGAAATTGGGAACTGATGTGAAATATCAGATATATGGAAAGCTAAATCCTGCCTGGCTGAATACAGAAAGACCTGTCCAACTGCTTTTTAAGATAACTCAGCCTTAGTGTAACAAACCCACGAGTCTGAGGAAGCTTGTGAAACCTACCTATCTAGAAGTTTTGGTGAAATGTCACCCATTTTTCAGTCTCATCAGCTGAATGCAGTGTCACAGAAGAGATGGGCAAAGATTGATACCATAGTTTGTGGGCCTCGAGGTAGCTCAAACTTTAGCTCACAACAAAAGAGCACTACTACAGTTATTGATGATTACTCTACTCTGACTATACTGCAGGTTAGAAATAGGCATTAAAGAGAAATGTGTAGCATATTTCCAAAGTGCCAAAGGTTTGATGACCTCCCTCTCACGCTTCCCTCTCCAGCTCTGTTTCTGTGTCAGTAATGGTAGGTGTGACATTCACTCCTCTCTGTGAGGAGAGCGCTCCTTTTCCCCTCAAGTTCAGAGGTGCCTACATTTTTCCAAACGGTTTGGCACATCACTCCTAGGTTAATTTTACTTATGAATCACATTGCATGGTTTGGCATACACAGCTATCCTGGAAGCGTCATGAGGATTTGATGTTCTAAAAACAGGCTGCATGTCATAAGGTTTCCATGAAAACATTCTTTAACGTAGCCACACAAAGCTTAAAAAGTGCATTTTAGTGCTGTTTTGTTTGAGGAGACCTGCAACTAATCATTGATTTTTAGAGGCTCTGAAGCCACACAAGATTAAGATATTTCTTCCTGACTGCCAGATGAAAACCTTTATCTGGTTTAGCGCTCCAAGCCTAGAGCCAAACTTCTCTTACATGCAACTCCAGTCACGTCAATGGATCAAGCCCTGGGATGAATGTGGCACAGTGGATGTGCTCCATGTGTAGCTCCCTGGCGTGAGGAAGCTATCGCTGCAATCCGTGGCAGGAATGAAATGTCAGTGACAGAGGCTGTTGCTACTTCAGTCATGCCACGCATCTCAATGTCAGAACTCCCCTTGGAACTGACATTTCGCTGCTACCACGTACAGCATTTTCGTGGTAAGTATAGAATCAAATGTTAACAAGCAAGGAGTAGATATGGCCACACCGAAGATTTACATGAAGATTAACTTCACAAGAGACAATTGCTTTTCATTTATAAGCATTGCAAAGAGGTGACGTGCGTGTAACATGCTCTGCATCTCAACCTAATCTCAAAGTATTTGAACATTATGCTGAAAATAGTGACTAAAGAACACACTGCTTAGGAGAACTAAACACGGGTTTGAAACAGAAGTTTATTCCTGAAGTTGTAAATCACTTATGTTGCAAGTCTGGGACTAGTGAAATGAAAAACTAACTGCAAAGCTTAGAATTAACTCAATCCTGCTTCACTGTTTGTTTGGGTCTACTATTCACGTACTACTACATTAATTGGAAAAATTACCTTGCACGATGTTTTTAAATTTGCTTATAGGAAAATAGAATTGTGCCTCACAAAAGCATGCGATACAGACTTACCTCTACACCAACACGACAGGTTAATTGGAAAAGCAGTAGTAACACAAGGAGTTCTACCTTACTGGTGATTATATCACAGCATTTTGTGCAATGTTTTGCTCCCTGTGTCACTTCAGTGAGAACCCCATTTAAGTGGACACAAAAACAGAATATCACTCTACTATGTAAGTTATTGTAATGTTCTGGAAAGATGCTGCTGAAAATGGGATCAAATTCTAGAACCCGGGTATTCTCTTTAATACTTATTTGTATCTGCTAAAGCTAACATGCTGAAACAAGGCTACAATATAAGGCAGAGGCATGAGGTAGGTGTATAAAAAGACATGAGTAAGTGCTGTGACTCACGTCCCAAAGTACACAGTTGCCTACAGGAATTACACACCTAAAAGGCAGCTTGTACATTCATACACCAAATCTGTGCTTGTAGTCATAAAACTGTGCATGAACCTTAGGTCTTCTCTCCTGATAATGTGACTATTTTCAATTACCCCCAATTGCAAATCTTGAAAACAACAGTAGAATAAACCATATTGTAGATAGAATGTCATGTCTAATGTTTCTAATTATTAGTGGGGAAAATTACAGATTTGGGCAAGTCATTATGAGCAAAGTTTAAACTAGGTGTAGCTGTTCCTTCTGTTTGAAGAGGTTTATTTTAGAGCATCTGACAGGACTATGACAGAATATGAACACTGTAGCTCAATCAGAAAAAGCTAGAAAAATAATTATTTCTAAAGGAAAAGTATTTTGAATGGAAGCGTAAACCAGTTCTTTCAAAATAAAGATTATACAAATAAAAAGTAGTATTTTCAAACTAAATATTATTGAAGAACTATACAGCCTAATCTACTCGAAAAATAATGGTAATGGTACTGAGACAGTGAAATCCTTTAAAAAAGAGATAGTTTGTAAAGAATCATTTTAACAACAGTGATTTCACCTTTTAAAAATTATTTTTAGGTGCTGCTTCACACCTCCTGAAAAAAGTCAAAGAGAACGGTAGATAAAAGCAAAGATAAAAAGATAAAGAGAATGGTTACATACTCCAGAGAAATAAATGAATATACATACATGTATATATTCACTCTGTTCTTAAATTCTCCCCTAAGTGTCTGCTTTTGGCCACTGTCAAGACCTCATGCTGGGTGAGGTGGATCTGTAGTCTGAGCCAGAGCACCCAGTAAGTTCTTCCCCATCTTTTGACATGTGCCAGCTCACCTGGTACCCTAGGGTATGTGCTGGTGTTATTACTCCCTTTTGTATGAGGGCAGCTGTCTCCTTAATTTCCAAAGGCGCTGCATGTTGTATGGGTTTGGTTAATATCCAGAACTCTGTTTACATCTGCACTGCGAAGAATCTCCAACGAGTTTCACTGAGCTGTGAGAAGCAGCATGAACGGCTGCTGAAAGCTACCCTGCAGTAAAGTGCTGTCCTGGGCAGAGTATCCGCTGACAGAGCATCCATCAGAGCATCTCATTTTGCCCACCAGAGTGGGAGAAAACCTAGCAAATGAACTATGTTGAACCTTAAATGGCCACCAGTTTTATCATCAGAAAGCCTTTGAACATTGTCATCCTACTTATCAAGTTGTTTGCATTGATAAACAAAATTTCCTTAGTGGTGTGGCTCAAGCAAACACCTGTGGCAATTTAAAATGCAGCTGTAGCCTCCTGACTGCCCAGTCCCTTCTTTTATGGTCATTAACAGCTACCAAAAGTGATATATAGGAGAATCTGTATGGTTCAGTCATCCTCAATCCTTTATGTGGTGTCCTGGCACAAATCCATTTTCATTAGACCAGAACTGGAGCAGCTGGGCCTGAGAACACATTTGAACCTGCCAGCCTTGCTCCAGAGGGAGAAAGCTCTAGCAAAGAAGTCAGCATCAGGGTTTTAACATTTTAAAGCCCTGCTGCCAGACCTGCAAGAGCTCATCCACTCCTTCTTTTAGAGCCTTAAGGCTCAAATGGAAGAGAAATCGGTAACTTTGGTTGACGTTCTCGGCATCAAGTGTGTAGGATTCGTTCTGCAGTGCAGGAGCTTCCCTCTGGAATAGGCAGACCTGTCTGTCTGCTTTCCAAGCTGCATTTCCAAGTCAGTTGACTGTACAGGTATGGATTACACTGATGTGCAACTCCAAGTGGAGTGGGAAACACCCTGTCTGCTCTGAGAAAGCCGTGTTGGGTGGCTGGGACTGATGGGGCACAAATGGGGCATGGTTTATTGCTCAGCTACATCATCAACATTGAAGTTTTAGATCTGTAGTCCTTAACACCTCATGGACCCTTTGAGGCTCCTTTTTCAATTCTGTATTATACTTTTATTGAATTCTGGTTTTCTGCTGGTAGGGACTGTCTTAGAAATTACTTTTTTTTCCAATATATTAATTCAGGGCTTTCTTCATGCTTGATTTGTAGCACAAACTATTGTTAAAAAGTTGTGCGATTGAATGGTTAAACAAATTTATTTATTCATGTTTTTCTAAAATATCTGAGATGGAAATGTATTGAAGTACCTTATAGTACGAGGCAATAAATACTAATTATTACAATTTATTACTCCAAAACCTATCCTTATCCTTTCCACAACAATCTTATCTGCTGTAGTACCACTCAGATGTTGGCAGGTCCTTTTCCCAAGTTACCATGTAAGATGGATGAAACAAATATTAATTTTTTTAAAAATCAACTGACAGCCCCCACTGTCACAGCAGAAGATGCTTTATAAAATCACATGTTATTAAGAAAGTCATAGTAAGAAAATACAAAGATTTTTGTGTAGTTTTATATCTGTCTACATTTATAAGAAAAGTTACAGTGAAAATGAATATGCTTTAGCTTGGCTTTTCGAATCTAGCTAGTTATGTACAAATACAGGTATTTGTGAGTATTATCCCAAACATTTAGCTCTGGATCTTGACAGATAGCACTATACCTTCTATATAAAGCCTAGATTGTCTTATTAAATTGGAAGCTGGTTCTGCAAACCCACCTGATTTTTCTCTTTCTGTTCTGCCTTGTCCATACTGAAAAGCAATAGCAATCAGGCCAATATATTCTTGGATGGGTGGCTGTGTTTAAAAGAGGAACACAGCAACATGACACAGAAAAGAATTCAAGGTGCAGCTGTCTCACTGGCTGTTCCTGTATGTAAGGGCCTCTGTATTGTAATAGATCAATTCCCTTATGCCATCTTTTATAAAAAGCAGATTGGGTTAAATACATGAACAAAACAAAGGGCAACGCTGTAGTAAATTTCAGTCACATTCTGAATTAATGTGAACTTTGGAAATACAAGTTTCAGGTAAAATTGTTTACTTACAGTGGGGTTTTTTTGCTGCACTTCAAGCCACAACACAGAGCTGAATGTACCTAAAGAGAATTTCAGAGCTGGATTGACAGTGTTCCAAATTCGGAGCTCTTCTACTCTATATTGAATAATACGAAATTCATAAATATTTTATTCCTATGACTGTTGATTCAACACTTGCCTGCAGTACTCTGTCAGAATCTTCAGGCTAAACATGCCAATTTTATCATCAGAAAGACTTCAAACATCACCATCCTAGTTCACAAGTTGTTTGCATTGATAAACAAAATTTTTTGCCTTGCAGGTGGTACTGTGAAGGGAAGGAGCTTGAAAACTCACCAGACATTCAAATTATCCAGACAGGTGATCAGCACTCATTGATTATTGTTGAAGCTTTTGAGGAGGACACAGGACGTTACTCGTGCTTTGCTTCAAACATCTATGGAACAGACTCCACTTCTGCAGAGATTTACATAGAAGGTAACGTTACAAGTGGTGCAGAAATTGATTGTTGAAATTGGTCACATAGGATTAAGATACGATTATGTGTCTTGTTTGCTAACTGTGTGATAGCTTTGTCACAAAAAATACGTAGCAGGGAGAAAACACTTTTCATCATTATTACTGTCTTCATTATTTCCCTGTAAAGCACCATTCAGACTAGAGACTGCCCTTTATGTGTTATTTTATTGTGTCACTTCCCAGAGATTTCATATATATCTCACTGTAAGATCAAAGTCTAAAAATATTCAGATTCTGATGCCACCTTGTATTTTTTATCTGTGGAACTCTACGGAAATATAAGAACCTAATATTCGTGTCTAATTCTTATTAATCCTTTTTCCCTACAGTCACTATAACAAGTTGAATATAGGACCCCTTCCTCTTAACCCCTTATTGGGCCCTGTAACCAAAATAAATATGCCATCAATTTGGTATTTTACTTGCCCAGTAGATGTAAATAAAACAGAGTATATATCTGCAGATTTAGATGTCTTCTTTCTCCTTATGCTTTCTCCTATACCTACTGGGCCTAAGAGAAGTCTACTTATATTTATTTTTAACACTTTGTTGGGTAAGATTTTAGATTGCATCCATCATTTGCAGGACTACAAATTTGAAAAAAACACAGAGGATATTTTTTTCCATTCTCAAGCAGAGAAATAAACCATGAGCACCATCACTGACAGCAGTGGGACCATCACAAATTAAAGCACTGCCCTACTTAATACAAGGTGGATTTTGTTCTACTGATACTCCTCTTTCAGGTCTCTAATCTGACAATGAAATGAAGAATCCTTTTTTAGGTTCTGCACTGCCCCTGACACTGATGGGAGATGTCTGTGCTTGGCAGGGATTTCCTAGTTCTCCAGACAGAGGCCAGAGTCTGCTGTTACCTGGCTCAGTGGATGCTGGAGGGAAGCCATGGCTGCCGGAGATGCTCACTGGCAGGAGCTGCAGAGAAAATGCAAATTCCAAGCACAGGGAAGGCTGAGTCAGAAGTGTAAAATGTCTCAGGAAGACAGCTGTTAGTAAACTGAGCTATTATCTTCTCCCTATTGTGCTACAAGGCTCTAGTTTGAGAATAACAGTTATGATTCAAGGTCTGTTTTTTAACTTTTTTTCCTTTTGAATGGTAGTATCGAGTGTCTGAGAAAAGAAAGCTCTTCCTCGATTCACAACAACAACTACAGACTAAATCATAGAGACATTTTAAAGAGAACCTGAGGAAGACCCAGGTATACATTCACTCTTGGATGCTGTCAACAGCAGTTCTGCATCTTGCACAGTATCCATTGCTGGTTCATTTCCCCTGGAATGTGATCTTTTGTTTTGGCACAGCTTTATCGTATATATCCATAGAATGCTCTAGAGGAAATCTGAATAATGGTTTTTATCATTCATAGATGAACTCCAAAAACCCCTCTGCTAAATGTTTGTTGGGGTTTTTTTTAATTTTTTCACAGGAATCTCTTCTTCTGACTCTGAAGGTGAAATCATCACAAACGAAATGGATCAGTAAGTTTAAAATCAATGACATCTTGGATACTTTTTACCATTAAAAAAACCTCATAAGTGCAGACCTTTCAGTTTGCAACCTCCAACACATTAGGGCTCTGTTTAGGATTTGTTTGGATTGTTTGGGTTGGGTTTTATTTGCATGCCTGTTTGTTTGATTAACAAATAATACGGAACAAACACACATGTTCGCTTGTGTTTTCAATTTCAGATTAAGAATTGAAACTTTAGTTTTAAATATAAACACAAGAGGAAAGATGGCACCTTAAAGATTGAACCACTAAAATTAATTTACTAATCCTGAAGCCATTTGACTAGACCCATCTTAAATGCTGATTTAAGCATCTGACTTGGACAAACAGTGCAGTACAATTTCTCACATGAAAATACAGCATGTCATGAAGTTTTTGGCAGAATATGGGGACAGAATAATTATTTAGATTTAAGATAAGGAAATTAATAGATATGCACTAGAGTAAACTGAAATGATGGTATAAAAGACTACTTAATTATAAAAACAAAATATGTCAGATGTCATCTAAAACCTGGGAAATAGTTTTATTTTTCCTAAATGAAATCCATCCCCTGATCATTTAGAACCTGATCCAATCTCTTAAAATCTTTTGGAATCAAAGTCCTTCTATTAACTGGAAAGAGAATCAGAGTGGTTGAAAACTAAAATAATCAGTCTTTTATTTTTAACTCCTTTGCATTCAATTCCAAAAGCAAACTGCTTTATACAGAGAAAATCTTAACCAGATAGACATGCACCCTGTTGGTTTCATCCATCATTAGGGAGCATCATGCTCATTACAAATATCAGTTTTTAAAATACAAAGATAAGACAGTTGCAGTTTGTTCGACTAAACACCTCAGGCTGACAGCAAATCCTGTTGTATGTGATTTTAAGTTCAAAGGCATAAAATATTCCCCACTGAATCGGTTTATGGACTCTGATAAATGTAAGGGTTTAATATAAAACTTAAGATCAAGAAGATCTGAAAGGTTTGGGGATGAATTGCTAAGTTTTCCACAGTTCTAGTTCAGACTTGTCTAACTGTCTCAGGCGTATTTTTTTTCATATTCACCTCATCAGGTGTCAATGTAGCACTGACCATGATCTTGACCACCTGATGGCTTCTCTAAATTACTTACCTCATTAAATTGTGAAGTAATTTTTTCTGAGATTAAAAAAAAAAATGCTGCTCTGCCATTGTGGTCCTCAAATGATCACATTATGAAAGATCAGGTTTGGGTATAATGAAAGTGTCTTCATTTTTCCTCGGCTTCCAGCTGTCTTCACACGAATCTGAACACTGTAATTAAAGGGAATTAATATGAGAAAATATGCTAAAAGAAGTTCAAAAGAAAAATCAGTGATCACAACAACAGTTGTATCTTCACTCTGAGTGAAGATTTCTCTGTTTTAAAGGCCGGGCTTCCTGTGGGGACCTGGGCGCCTCAAACTGGATAAAAAGGCCATTTCTTCACTGTTTGCATTATTTCACTTGGCAATAAAATTAAATAGGGTCAACTCTTATAATCATACATAGAAACAGCCTAGAAGTGAATAGGTGCCAATCTGTGCACTATCAAAATTGAGGATATGTTGGTCAGAAAGCATCTATTTTTCAGCAATAAATTATTGAATCTGTACCCAAGCAAACCATGGTATTTTCATTACCTTATGGGCCCAAACTTTCACACAAGCGAAACTAGCACTGTCCTCTGTGAAACCAGCACTGCTTTCTCATGCTGCTCAGAGCTGGGTTCATCCAGGCCATTTATTGCATTTGGTGTGACTGAACTGGGGTACTAGAGCAGACAGATATGCAGGCTGGCTCTAACAAAATGCAGTTTTACCCAGGAGCACGTGGAATTCAATCCCAGAAGTGAGGCTGATATGTGAGGTTGATATGCAACCGAGACAGACATAACTAAGGAGACACACACACACACACACAGAGCTCTGCCTTCCTGTCAGGGAACTTACTCTTGGTTAATATTTCACAGCAAATCAAGGACAGCAGACACCTCTGTGAATGCAGCATCTCCTGCTGTCAGAACTGCAACCAAGCATCAAGAAACCTCCAAGGCACCACCAGCTGTGTTCCAGCCCGTGTCTGTACCTGTCCAGACTGTGCCAACAGCAGTTAATCCGGTATGGGAGACAATACAGGGAATTTCAAGGACAAAAAGCAAACTCTTATAAATCACAGACTGACTCATTCACCTTCAATAGCAGAAGCCTATAACGTTTTTCTCTCCCTTGCTACAGAACTCACTTAAAATCTTTTCCTTTCAATGAAACTTATTTTAAGCTAAATCATTTCACTACTATGTTTACTTTATATGTAGATATACGTTTGCCACATAAGATTTCAATATCTATATCAAAGAGTTTCTAATTAATGTTAGCATACATTTCAAGTCCTTTTTGTTGCAAACTGTCAGAAAACTCACAGCTGTGAATTCTTTCCTGACAGGAAAGAGGAGCCATATTTCCTTAAAACTGAAATGTTCATGAGAAACTCGCTTTACACTGCTTTTTGAAAGTTTACAGCCCAGAATTAGGTGGTAACCAATAAACAGATACTGAACAGGTGAAGCAATGCATCTTTACTTTTTACTACAATGAGAATAGAACTAAGCCTCTGAGACATATCACCATTTAAGAGAAGTTGCTGAAGTCAAGAGTAATAGTTATCTCAAAAAATCACCACTTTTAATCTTGTTGGTTTATAAAACATCATCTATGTAAATTTGGCTCTGTTTCCTGAGATATTGAATCAGTAATTTTGCTTTTCTGGGACAACTCTTATTTCACTAAAATGAAAAACTCTGTTAAATAATCAATCTAGAAAACAAAATTTTCCAGGAGAAGAATAACTCCATTCTGATTTCACTGAGTAGGATCAAGAGGGTGATATCTCATCTTCTTAAAAGGTTTGGTTTAGGCAAAGGAAAAGAATTACAGTAGCAGTCACACACGTGACTTAACATTTCCTTCTTAACATCCATAAATATTTTGTAAATAAGAATTTAAAAAAAAAAAACTACCACCAAGCAGCCAACAAAGGTTTGCCTTAGGGAATTATTAACAAAAGATGTCACAATATGCTGCAGTGAAGTTTTCCTTGCCATGATGGACTCAACTAGGCAATAAAGCACTAGCAGCATTTTTGCTGTTATCCCATCCAGGATGATCACCAGCAGTTGTCCACAACAGAATTTCTATTCATTGCATTAAATATTTTGCTTTGGACTTCACCCACTTCTCCTGCATACGGAAAAATAATGTCTGTACACCTAAACATCATCTTGTGATGTTTTGCAACCTACAGGCCCAAAGCCCCACTAACTATTTACAAGGACTGGATGGAAGACCTATAATTGCTGCTCCTGTATTTACAAAGGTAATTTGTTCTATGACATATTTGAAAATTAGAGGTCAATTAACTGTAGAAAGAGATGATTAAAAAATTTCTAGCTATCAAATGTAAAAAAAGGAATTATGCATTTCTGAAGCCACTCAAAGATTTAAGTGGCTTTATTAAATCTTACTGAAATCAGTATTACTTCCAGAGCATTAAGGCATTTACTGACTGTCTATTCATTTTCTCTATTAGATGTTACAGGATATTTCAGCTTCTGAGGGGCAGCTTGTTGTCTTTGAATGTCGGGTGAAAGGAGCTCCTTCCCCAAAGGTTGAATGGTATAGAGAAGGAACACTGATAGAAGATTCTCCAGATTTTAGGATATTACAGAAAAGTATGTTTTCTGTGTGAAAGTATTGTGTCTAATAAAATATAGGCAAGCAAAAAAATTGCTAACATAGCAACCCTGTGAACTTCTTATTACAATGGTAAGAACCACACAAGCTGAATTTATGGCAATAAATCTGGGTCCCAGAAGCTCAAACTGTGAATGAATTGACCAGCACCTCACAGGTAGTATTTGCCTGAGATTCCCCAAACTCTTGAGTCATTTTGCCTTCTGCTTTGATCCCTTTGCCACTTCAGTGTCCTCTTCTAATTCAGCCTCACTTCCACTGGGTTTTTTTGAGTTTACACCTTTTATGTAGAGTTCCATTGCCTGTAAATCCCTCGCCTTTCAGGTAGGTAACTTTATAACAGTGCTTATGGGCAGTAGATTGCTTATTTATCCACAAAAGTAACCTGATGTGCATGTTACCATGCTGACACATGCACATGTGCGCACATGATACACACTAGGTTGTAAACACAGACTTCTTTGGTAATTTTCAAACGCAGTCAAAACATTTGCAATTTTCTCATAAGTCACTGGAATGCTAAAAATAGAGAAAATTCAACAGAAATTCCGTAAATATGACACTAAACCAAACCTCAGTGAAACAATGGTTCATCATAACATGGTTTCGTGCGTCTTAGTTTCAGAAATTGTCTTCAAGATAAAGTAGTACTAATATTGAAAAAAATACTTCTTGCAAAATTTATTTCCTGTTCATAAATTCCCAAAAAGGTTCCTAAGTGTTCATATTGTTCAGTGGCTTTGACATGCCATTGAGTAGAAGGCTTGGCTGTCTCTACCACCCCATAAACAGAAAACTGGATCAAATTCCAGTATTCCATCATATTGAGGAGTCAAACTTTATATTTAATGCTTAAAAAAAAATATTGGCAAAAGCAACTATATTCAATCTAATAATTCTGCTCTTCTTCCCTTTAGAACCACGATCTATGGCTGAACCAGGTGAGGATCATCAAAAGGCTCGTAATTTTTTCATTATATAAATGTGGTGATTTTCCTTCACAAAATATGGATTATTGAAACTCTATAATTTAATTAATGTAATTTTTTCTTTTCTCCATAATCTATAGCTACTCATAAGTTGCATTTCACTGTAGACTGTTCCATAAATATATAATTTGAATTAGTTCTGTCTCTTTTGAAGAAAGTGTTTCCATTCTGCTTTGACCCAGTTCTAACCCGGGATCTAAATGAGCTAAAGACTAATAAAACCAATGTATAAGGGTCCCCTGTACATCTGAGGTCCAAAAGTACACCAGATGATGTAGGACTGAGCTATTTTTATCTAGTTTACCAGTTAGGGAACATTGCATCAGATGTTTAGCCATGTCAGCCATTCCCTGTGCTCCAGACCAGCGTAATATGAGAGTGCCACATCAGGTGTTCCACCCCTGATATCAGCAAATCCTATAAACATGGCTGGACCTGCTAATTTCAAGGGTCAGGGTAGAAGGTAGGTTACTTCACATGATTGGAGCAGAGGAGCCATACAGATTTTGATTACTTCTCCATGAGAGGATCACTCTCCTCAGTATGCTTCTCACTATTAGAAATATAAAGCTGCCCCTCTTAAGATGGAAAATTATCAAAGGAGTATTAGTTCTTACATAACAAACTTCTGTAACTCTTCTCCTTGCCCTGTTAGAAGTTTTTTTACCTTGAAAAGTGTCTTAAAGAAACTCCCTCTCTCTGAGGATTAGGATGGAAAAAAATGGAGCTTCAACCAGCACCCAACGACACTGTTCCCTTACTGTCTGCTGGCATCACTGCTGAGTAATGTGAAGCAGTTTGGAGAGGATCATCAGTTGGGTGCAGTTGTCACAGCCTCATCACCTGCTGCTCATTCAGAAGGAATCTGGATTTCCATGCATGCAGCCATTGGCAAATCCCAGCACGATAAACTACATCCTATAATGCCTTAAACTAGTGCTATAATAAACTATTATTCTCCAGTAGTTGATAGCAAGCAATCTCTTTGTTGCTACTAGGTTCCCCTCAGCGATGCCATGAAACTATCAAGTTTAAGCATGATACGGTTTTCTACAGAAATACTCGTAAAATATTTATCCTGGAGGGTTTTAGGAAAGTTTATTGCAAAAGAGTAGCAAAACAGTCACTGACTAATTTTGAAGAAATTTTATCAGCCCACATTTCATACACTTTAGATGGTGCTCTCCCTCCCCCTCCCAGCCAAGCAAAAGACTTAAAATCCCATCACCATAGGTATTTATTGGCTGGTACTGCTGCCCAGACACATCAGATACTGGTCAGACAGGAATGTCGTAACGCCAGATTAACTTTTCAAGATGGAATATAGTTTTTCATAGTACACTTTTGCTAGCACATTTTTGGTGTCCATGAGTCTTCTTTGCAAGGAAGTGAAAAGGCACCTTTCTATAAGCATGATTAGCACAACCCCCTCTGTCTGCAAATCTGCACGGGTACTTTTGGAAAATGCCAGCCTATATGAATATATTTTGTGTTTCTCCCTCTCACAAAGTGACTCCTCTTGAATTACAATTTTATATATATATATATAAAATATATAATTATAACTTAATTATAATTAATCTTTCCCTCTGCAGAGATAAAAATATTTCTATTTTAGTGAGTTGAGAGTATAGAGCACACTGTATTTTTCTAAATTAAATTTTAAACTGCTTCTGTCTTAAGTCTGTACTTCATGTCCTTAGGAAAACATTTTCCAATGTTTTCCACATGCTGCTGACACCTGTTTTTCACTTCCATTGGGCATGCTGGAGCACAGAGGACAGCAGTTGCTGCAGACAATGCTGATAACAGCTGCTGCACACAAAGGTTGCCAAAATTGATAATACTGATGAAAATAAAATCAAACTGAGCAAAGTTAAAGACCTTAAGGAAATCTCCTGAAGGACAGTCAGGGTTCTGTGTGTTTGTTCACGACACGTTCACTTCAAGTACTAACATTGCTCTGATGCTTTGCAGAGGAAATTTGTACTCTTGTTATTGCTGAAGTATTTTCAGAGGATTCTGGCACTTTCACCTGTACTGCAAACAATAAATATGGCACAGTATCCAGTACAGCACATCTAACTGTCAGAGGTAAGGGTTTGTTTTAGTCCTTTGCTCCCTAGTAAATACAAGCAGAGCAGGCTGTGATTTAGGCTGCCAAGGCAGCCATTGGTGCCTCCAATTCAGCTCAAGTCTTAGAAATGTTCTTCGTAACTAAAAGGTCTGAGAATTCTCTGAAAAGAAAGTTTTTATTTTAAAGATGCTAATGGAATGTACGGGGGACATGGCTGAAGACCACTGCTTGGTTTTCCAAACTAGAACAGTGTCTCTTTTCCCTCCACCTTTACAATAGTCCTTTTTTACGGGAATTTGTCGTTATATAAACAAAGTCAAACAACTCAGTCCAACAGCCAGAAGGACACCAGAGTGGGTTTTCTGAACTGTAATTTTGTGATTTTATTTCACTATGATTTATGGCATTTACGAAAAAGTTTGCTGTTTACTCTTTCAGCATCCGAAGACAGTAACAATGCTGCCACCCTTCACACCACGAGCTCCATCGACTTTGTTGCTACTGAACACCAACCTCCCCTACACGCTCCTTCCCACCACGGAACAAATCAAACACCTAAACCTAAACTTGAAGGTGTTCTCGTGAACCACAACGAACCCAGATCGAGTTCCAAGATTGGGCTCCGTGTGCACTTCAAGCTGCCTGAAGATGAGAAAGGAAGTGAATCATCATCAGAGGATGGACCTGGTGCTACAAACCAAATCAGACCCAACCATTTCCCAGAGAAGATAAATGGACAGCCAATGAAAATAACTGAGCCAACTTCACCATCCAAGGAACCTCCCCCGGTACTGGCTAAACCAAAGCTGTAAGTAAATGGAATTCTAAGTCTCAGGAGCATCACTGGTATTATTTAGTATTTATAGACCATGGCACTATTGCACTAGAGCAAAAACTCAAACACAGAGAAAAAAGACAATCAGTATCACATGGCACTGGCCTAATTACCCATACTCTTAGAAAACATATTCTACACATTCTGTATATCCCTCTTAGGAAAAGTGTTCTCCAATTTTAAAAGGAAAATGGTTTCCCTATGAAATGTTGTTAATTCCACAATGTTTTCTGCTGCAATCAAAAGGTAAACACCCCTGCTTTTATGCAGACAAAATAAAAGCAGGTTCTTCACACACGTCACTCAGTTCTGGGTATGTAATTTTGCCAAAATCAGACATATTCAGTCCAATACATAGTATGGACTGGCAACTAGAGGGCAACTGTTGTTCCAAAGGCCATTTCTCATGACTTTATGTCCCACAAGCGTAATCGCCTCCTAAAACAGATAAAACATTTGGAAATGTTTGATAACGTGAAACCCCTTGAACTAAGAAGCACCTGCACGATAAGTGCACCATGAGCTCAAGGGGAAATTTGAAGTAGTGTAGATTTCTTAGAGAACGATTTGTGGAATTTACACTGCACTTTGTTAAGTATTTATTTTCGGCATTGTTTCAGCCTCCCACTTCTAGTTTAACAAAAAATCCTTAATTTTATTTCTTGAATACAACTACAGGCTCAGGAAGGACTTTATAAAGTAATTCATTGGTACTTTTAAGCAGGGCTGTAATTTTATAGCATAAACATTACAAGGAGAAGAGAGAACTTACATACCATGTAGAAGAGGAAAAATTTGAAGCGCTGTTTTTTTTTACTTTATGAAGCCCATATTGACAGCACTGCCTACTTTCAGAGCTATGGTGTGTTTAAGGGAGGAGCAGAAGCAGTATTTAAGTTGTGCAATGCTTACATAAAGCAGCATTTCTTTCACACCCCCCAGAAAACCCTCTGTAACAAAGGAGTGCGTTATTATGCAGATGTATATACGAAGGACACACAATCAGGACCATGCAGCTTCTAACTCTCTAACATCTTACTTTTTGAAAGCTTGAAATAGTTTTATTATCTAAATTATTATAATAATGTATAATGATAATTGTTATAATAATTATATCTAAATTATCTACCTTTATGGTTATTTTTAATACCTTATAGAAACAGTAGTTCTTTTAACTAAAAAGAAGTTCTGTTGACCACGTATTTGGTTTGTCAGTAGCAGTTGTGGTTGGTCTCTACTTCTATGTTTTTCACTTTTTATCAACAGTCATTTAATAGTTTATAATATGACCATTTTCCATATCCTCTATGTCTTCTCTGGTTTTGAAAGGGAAAAAACCAGCCTGTTTTCATGTGCTATATTTCCATATACATAAAAACTCAATAAAACAATTGACAAGGCAAAATAATTCTCCTTAATTGCAAAACAGTTGACACATCTAGCAGATAGCATCTAGAAAACAACAACAGCATGAAATGCAAGTCCTCTCTGAATTAGACACCCCTGCCTGTCACTGAATGTCAACACCATCTAAACTACACTGGCAATACCTCTTATGGCGGAGTATTACAAAGCTTTATCAGTCAAAATGCTGGTCTCAGAACTCGCTTCAACTCACTTCAATCTGGCTTACAAATGCTCATTTAAAATATGATACACCAAATCTTACTCTTAGTTGCACCAGCAGTGAGGTACTAAGATGACACGGAGCAGAATTTGACAATGCTATGCCTTAAATATCTTCAAGTAAAATTTATATTTATATTTCATGTTAGAATGTAAGAATTATCTTCCATCAAATAATTTTCAGACAAAAAGCTTTTGTGCCTCTGGCAAAGAAGGGGAGAGGAAGGAAAAGTTTATTTTAGTAGCAAACTAGTATTATGCTCTTCTCATAACAATAGAGAATAAGTCAGGTAGGAGTCTCCTCTGTCTCTTATGGTATCACAACTCATTTTTTTCCCCCTCACAACTCATTTTTCTCTCTCAATTCATATATGGAAATGTAGTCAACTGGCATAGTTCAGGGCTCATAACCAATTTTGCTTATCTTTATTTTATGTGCAGTGATCAGAGCCAGTTAAAACAGCTCCACAACCAGGTCTTGCTTGAACAGCAGCAGGTGCATCAGGCATCTCTAAGAGAGCTGTCATTCAACACAGTTTCATTGAATTCTGCTACTTCACTCCACCAACAGTCCACCACAACTCTGTACAAGCAAAGCTCAGCCTCTGCTTCACAAGCTTTTGGCTACACCCGCCCCAAGCAGTTCCTGCCATCCCAAACCTCGCCACCGGCCAGCTCCTCCCTTGCAGCATTCAGCAACGTCCCTCAACCAGCTCAGAGAACAAATAACACGGAAAATTTCACTGGAAATCCCCCACCTGCCCAATCGAGGTCTTCGGGAGGGTTTACAAGCAAAAGCGAACAGTCTCTCCCAAGCCCCAAAGAATCCGCGGTGCCTCCGTTAACACTCTCCACATCCAGCGTAAAACACTTCCAGCCACAGACTGTGACTCCTGCTCCCATCTCCCCGACTGGGCGGATTCAGAACCCAGTGGCTTTCCTTAGTGCTGTCCTTCCCTCGCTTCCTGCTGTGCCATCAACCAATGCCATGGGCCTGCCCAGAAGTACTCCAGCCACGTAAGTACCATAAGCCACGTGCACAGAAGCAGGGGTAAGAAATACTCGGAGGAAACTAGGATGTGCTTCTGTTCAAGGGTTCAGCAGGGGAGTCACCGAAATGCAAGTCATCCATAAAGTAGAAAAGTGAGTTACTCATGTATTCTGGTCATTTAATCTAACCTTTATATTCACTTAAGAAAGGAAGGGATAGTACCTTCTATAATAAGGTACACCAAGGGTAAGATAAGTTCAAGACAGAGAAATGTGAGTGTGTAAACAGATATATACAAGAATGTGGGAGCTCAGAGATTCATAAGACTGAACTAGTGGGAGAAAAGAGATTTCATGAGCTTGCAGGATAAGTCACTCCAAGACCATCTGCCTTCATGAGGCACAAAAACATTCTTACCTATTGTAAGCAACAAGTAGAGTTTTGAAAGGTACCTCATAATGCAAGTTATTCTTTTAGTCCAGGTAAATCTAAGAAATAACTTATGTAAAGGTATTTTTCTGGTTGCCTTACTTTCTGCGTTTGAAGTCCCCCAGAAAATCTCAGGAGAGTTAATGGTTTGCACATAAATACTTTAATTGACAGCCAGCATGATTTCTATGAGAAAATAGCTACCATCATATAAGCAAGTAAGGATGATGATGTACTGGCAAAGTTTTGGCCTTATGAGTTTCTTCTTTACTGGTAGAGTTGAAGTGAATATCCCTTCACCATGTGAACCCAGTGTTAGCATGGCCAGCCCCAGTAAATTGGTACAACTATTTATCCATAGAATCCCAAATTCTGCACAAAGTAAGGAATATAAGGCATATAAGGAAATTATATCAACGGTACAGTTCAGGGTAGTGATAGCCATAAGTAAGTCACAATCTCCTGACTATCCCATGGATACTACACGAACCAATCTGTTATTACAACGGAAGAATGTGTCCCTGTATGTGTACCATTCCCCACTCTGTGTGCCAAGAAATCCTGCCTTCAAACCATGACTGACCTCCCACTTAGAGGGCTCCCAGTTGCTCAGCACAGCCACACAATTGCCATCACCCTGTGGCACCTGTCTGGAGCCCTTCTCAGCTCTGGCATCCCCATCAGGCACAGAGCATGAAGTTATAAATCCACAGTGAAGGTTTTAATTGTGGCCAACTCAAACCTGCAGCGTGCTTTCACAATGCTGCAAGAGCAACCAAAAATCAACTGCAAGTGGCACCAGCCCCTTCCTGCCCTTCAGAGCTGGTGCCCAAGTGCTCAGCTGCTGTTCTCTTTGCTATAATGACATTGAACCCTTGCAAAGTGATTTCCTTTTTCTCACTGCACAGTAAGTCATTACAATCTGTCTACAAGGCAGAGCAGTTAAATATTGTTTTCTTCATTTCAGCTCTCCTGGGTCCCAGCCCAGAGCTGAATTCCTAGAGCACAACTAGAGCTCAGCATGCTGAGATCCAGATCTTGACCTCTGCATGGGAGAGAGTCTAAGTGGGGGCACAAAAGGTCAGGAAGGAACCTGAACTGGATCTGGGATAATCCGTGAATACCTATGGAAACTTCAGCTTCCTTTTGTGGCATTATTAATTATAGTAACTCTGGTGAAGGAGGGAGAGCTTGCTGTGCCTGCAGACCAACAAAAGGGAGATACTTTGCAGACCAATCATCAGTTATGCCTTCACCAGGAGTCCCTGTAATTAAGATCCCAACTCCCAGTAAACTCCCAGAAAGTTGCACACTTTCTAGCAGTGTCCTGCTGCTCCACTTCAGCAGTGCACTCTCACAGTCTCCTGACAGTCTTATTTAAGAATTTAACGATTTTCAAACCTTAAACAGACTGCATCTATAACATAAAAATAAAAAATAACTGTTGAGGTTAGGTATCATAAAAGGGTGAGAGAAATAAAAGAAGTAAAAGTTCATGGAAAGAGTAAATGATCAATGAAAATGTGAGATAAGGATCGATGAGAAATTGTATTAACTTTTAAATTATTGTCTGATACAGTCACATGTACACATTGTACACCTAAGGTAACTCCTACGCACATTTCTTTAGCATTTACTGTGACATAATTATTGCAGGATAAATATAAATGGAACTGAGATGCTTATTATACTATTATAATGCTTATTCTCTATAACATGTGTGGTTTTAATTCCTACTGGCATGGGAATGGGACACACCATTAAGATAGTACCAGAAAAAAAAAATCAAATGCTGTATTGTGGTTTAGCTTCTATGTAAATAAATAATAGGTTCCTTCAGACAACTGAAGTGTAACATATCATGTCACACAGGTGACAAAATATGTATATGCTGGTTGCTACATGTTAGTATCAAAATTTTCTTTTAATAGCCCAACCCAGGGATCAACAAAGAAAAAACTGAAGCCTCTGCCATTAGCAACAGGTGATTCCATTCGGGAAAATAAAGCTGCTCTTTTAAAGGACCTGGAAAAAAAATTGCATTTCAGAGAGGATGCTCCTCAACACAGTAGTCAGCAGGTAAGAAAATCAAGTCTTATTAAAATAAGTTTTCACTCATGAACAAGTCGTGTATTACGACGTGTGGAACAAAAGGTGTTTGGGTGGTTGAGCTGCTACGCTGCTTTGCAGGGTGAGCTTTGGTGGTGAGCTGTGCTTTGGAACAGCAAACTGTAGCTTTAAACAGGAAGCAGGAGGGGATGCAGCTGTAGAAGATTTAGTTTGTGACTCACCAGCATTTTTCATTCCTGATCATCTCAGAGGCTGGTAGGAATGTAACACTTCTTTGTTTTCACGGAAGCCTCTGGACAGTGGATTTCAGTTTTTTGCTTTACAAGTTGCTCAACTTAAAATTAAAGAGTAATCAAACTGTTTAGGAAAAGGTTTTTGCTTTTTCTTTTGGTTGAACTAAAGTGGGGGGTCAATTTTTAGCATTAAACCTATTTTTCCAGATCTCCAAACTTATATGAATTGACAGGGACTTCTTGGGAACTTTATTATTATTATTATTATTATTTATTATTAGAGTTTAGCAAAATAACAAGCCTTTTACAAAGTTCAAGGAACTAAATATCAGTTCATTCTTAACTAGAATCAATAAATTCACTGGATCTGGACACTGTCTATGAAATTAAAAAAGAAATAGGACACACTAAGGATTGGTGGATAGCTGTTCCACCTGTTGGTGATTATTCTTCTCTCACCTTGGCCATGGAGCCCTCAATAGCTGTCCCACCAGCTCAGGCTTAACCCAGCAAATTAGGTTTTACCCTGATCTGTTGTCAAGCAAGGAACTTTTCACAATGTCCATCAGCCCTTCTGACAGAGAACATGCAAAGATAAGCAAAAAGCCACAGAGTCTTTAGAGCAAATTACCCTTCTGGACAACTGCAGTGTAATCCCTGTTTTTTTTAACTTTGCTGTTGACCTTTCTTTCTGGCAGATCACACTGCCAAAGCACTTTGAGTAAAACAGCTGGCAAGCACTGGGTTTTGCAGATGAATCACAAGTGTTGCAAATTGTACTTGCTATAGTAGTAAGACAAATTATTTGGAGAGCTACTGTGAAATACCAGTCAATCTTTTGAGTTAACTGCATGATAACCCCTTTAGAAACAACGATCACTACTAGTCTCAAAGTTATCTGCTGACAGCAAAAATTATATATACACCTATTTGCTATTCTGGAGGAGACCAAAACTAAATCTTGATTCTCCAATTCCTCGAACACTGAAAAGCCTCAAAGCTGGCACTTCTCTAATTGTTACAGTAATTATAATGCCAATGAACTAAACAACAGTCCTGGAATTATTCAATAAAAGTTCCCTCATTTTCCTCTCAGTTCTCACCTTCTGACTTTACTCTTCCACATCCAGGAAAAGCATGGCTAGACTTCACTGCTAACTCCAGCAACTTCTCGTCTGAGTTTGCTCCTCAGTGAAAGCAGTGATTTTTTAAATAGATGAGAAGATGAACAGTATTTCCCGAAATTCCTATTGCTTTACACTATATAGAACAACCAACATCATGATAATAATATGTTGAGTGCTGGATCCACACTCATAGATTTTGTCCTGGTTTTTTTCCTCTTGCAGTTAAACATGGAATTAAAAAGGAGACATTGTCATTCTACACATGGCATATCTGTGTTAAATTGATACCAGGAAAAAACACTCTGTCATTTCTGCAGGTGGCAGTCTGCAGCATTGCCAGGTGAAATTCCATCACAACTGGGAGTGCTGAAAAAAAAAATGTGATTCAGTTACACCCAAACATCTTCAGTCAGATTTGTTCAGTTCTTTCAAACAGAAGATACACAAAATGAGGATTGGCTTTATGCTACCACAGGAAGAGGTTAGGACAAATCCCAGGATATAGGAGACTTAACTCAGTTTCTTTCTTGGCCTGAAGACAATCAAATTCATAACTCTGAACTCCCATAAGGACAGGCTGAACTCATTGCCAGTAGGTATATGTAGTGTTGGTGCTGTCCCAGGTTGCACAAATAATTAAGCATTCTTTATTAGCAAGAGAAAAATCTGGAAATTCCACCTTTCAGAACAGCTTCTGTAACTTGAGCTTTTCTATCACCTTCTCCAGCTCAAAGAATAGAACTTAGGACTTTCAGGCATATGGGAACAGGCCCTCCATTAGCAGGACATTCCAAAGACCATTTCAGCTGAATGATTAGGGTCATTTGAGGAAGCTGTTAGAATTCTTTCTTCCAGTTTGTGATGGAGAAAAGAAAAAGAAACAAGCTTCACCAATATAAATAAATTTGCAACATTTCCTCTATAGAGGAAATTAGGCTTTACAGGCATTTATGATATTATCTCCTCAAAACCTTTTTATACAAATAATATGAAATAGCAAAATGAGGTAATTAAACCTCAAAATCCTGTACAGTAGTAAAAATTAATTAATTAACTGATAACAAAGGAAGGGAGAGTGAAGAAGCTGGGCCTGGTTTATACATTTTGGTTATAAGAACTACAAACTGTGCTCACAGTGTCATTTACTATGAGGAATGTCATGTGAATGGCAACACCGACTGGTTGTCTCTTATGGAAGACTCAGCAGCCTTATTTTTAGGACAAAGAGTAAACCCACAAGTATTTAGAAAATTATGCACAGGCCTTACATGAATATACTCCTTACTTTTGCTAGAGAGCATTTGATAAGAAATTTCAGAGCAAAAGAGATGTGGAGTTTGTCCAAAAGCTTTTAGATCGTCAAAAACCAAAGCCTGTAAAGCTGCAGATTCCAACTCATCACACAGCCCACAACACCAGTAACACCTCAACACTGAGCAAACAGAACTACCTCCTCACAGTTCCCATATTAAGCAGACAGCTTCAGAAAGGTCCCAAGAATCACCAGAAGCTGTTTTCCAGGGCACCAGAATTACGTTTAATTCAATCACTCCAAAAATCTTCCTCAAAACCAAGCTTTGCATTGTCTCTCAAAGGTCAGCAAATGTAGGCAATTTTTGATTAAGGAGGGAAATTAAACCACAAAGACTCCTCACAGAAGCTTCTCTGCTCTATGCTAGAAATGAGAAGAGATTTAAGAACCTGACCAAGACAAATTACCAGATCTTGATATCAATGGGTACAAACTCTCTATAATTGTGGGAATGAATAATTGAACAACCACTTGTAGCTGCCTTCTCAAGACCTAGATCTAATCAATAATAAAGTACAGACAGGTTTTCATGGCGGGGATCCTGGCTTGCAGAACTTATCACGTGGGAAAGGGAACCTGAACTCCCCATGCTTGCACACGCACTCCTAAGCCATTCACTCCAGCTAAGTCTGTGGGAATTGGAGATGGCACCTCATTTGCTTTCCCTTCTGTTTTCCCCTTGCCTTAATCACTTTGAACTGTATTTTGAATGTTGTCTAGCTGGACAATGACTTGCTAGTCTCTTCAAGGGTTTACATTTACATTTGGGTAAGCATGTCTTGTGCCATGTAAGACACCCAGTACAAATCATCTGCAAGAAGTTGCTAAAATGGCACCTCTTCATGGGACATGACCAGAAAAGAAAAGCATCCATGTTGGACCTCTTGTTTTTTGATTCCCACTGCTGAAAGGGGAGCAGGGGGAGGAGAAAGAATTCAAACTAAAAAGAAGACTTCAGTCAGAGCAGCCTAGATTAGACTGTGAAGCCAAGGAGTGTTACAGCTTGGAAAGAGACACTGAGATGCAACATAAGCCAGTTTTTTAGATAAACTGTTACATGGATTTTGAATAAGTCTGCCAAAAAGCCAATCTAGTAAAAGTTACAAAACTGGGATTAAATTGGGAAATTCGTCTAGAGTTGGCAATGAGTGGCCAACAGAATTGTTATACAGTATATGAGAATCAACATTTGAATAAAGATCCTCTAGCCTTTCTGTTTGTGGCAATTTCCATGAGTTACTAAGCTAACATCAGATTATTTTGATTCTACAAGCTTCTGTTAGCATGTATATTCACTAAGATCTGAATCTTGCTAAAGACAGATTTTAACTTCAACAGACCCGGGATTTTAGAACCTTTATTAATACACAAAGGTGCTTAGAACCTTATAGGAAATACTACACTCTATGTAATTCCTTTTTTGCCAAAAATGTTGACAGGTAGCAGAATGGCCCTGGAGTTAAATTACTTGACTCAAGATCTAGGAGACCATGATCCAATCCTGCTCTGTCACAGACTTTCTGTACCACCTTAACAGGTCCCTCAGCTTCTTTAGGCCTCAATTTCTCATATGTAAAATGCAGGTAATAGCCCTGCCCTGAAGAGTGCCTTGATGTCAGGTGCTCAAAAATGATGGTGATGGGACCAAACAGATCCATCAGAGAGACAAAATGATGTCAATCTGTACCTTCAGCAAGACTTGCACTGAGAGAAGATTTTGTTTGCCATACTGGTCAAAGTACAGCCACCCACCAGCACTCTACAACAATAGTGCCAAGGCACAGCAAGGGCAAGCAGCTCCCCAGAAGGGAAGGAGCATTTCACTGCCCCAAATTTCCACTAGAGATGCATATTCACCAGCACATTTCCTGACTTTGGCCAGTTTTAAGTCTTTTACCCTTCTAGCTATACTCTGACAATATTAATGCAACACCACCTGCTCCCCTTTTGCACGCTGTGCACACCAAACAACATGCATTACACATAAGAGAAATATCCAGGTTTCAGCAATTGCAGTCTACTCAGCATATATAGATCATTATATACAATTATAATATGTATGCATGATATGCATTATACTTTGTACAGCACATCACATCACTAGACAGGAGCTGGAATTTACAGTCTTTTAGCTGGTAGATAGCACAATTTTAAATATCTAGCTACTATATTAAACAAGTGTGTGAATCCCTGCCTGTAGAAGTTTCATGTTCCAGGAAAGCTGCCAAAAAAGTAGCTGCAATCCTGCATTTTGGACTCAAAACCAGGGCTTGAACCTCCGTGCTCTTTCCCTCAGTCTCCTCAGTGTGATGAACTGCAGCCTAGTTTTAACATTGTACCCAGTGATCACACTGACTTGTTCTTCATGTGATGCTTTACAAAATACTTGTCTGAACCTCAACCACAAACACTTTGCCCTACACCACTTTCATAATCACATTCAGAAATAGGCTCATGGCTTCTGTGATAAAAGCAGTTCTTCAGAAAGCCATATTAACAACTGTGTTCTTGCTAATCCTAACAGAAAATCCACCAAACAAGCAAAAACCTCCAAGATTATATTCTCTATAAAACAGTGTATTCTCACTTTTTTTTCAGAGATTTCTGTTCTTTGTAAGAAGTTTGGTATAACACCTTCAGTCTATGTATGTTGATGTTCAGATTTTCACAGCAAAGTTAACTCAGTCGTGTTGGTTTGTGTGCAAACTTATACCAGCACGTGCACACTGAACAACACATTTAGAAAGGCAAAGACTGAAGTGTGAGCACAACAGTCTGGGGCTGTGGGAACCCTAACTTCGAAATTTTCTGATTTAAAATGTATTTTTGAACATAACTCCTTAAAAATGACCAGGCCAAACTTGTGCAGTCAGCCTGCACAGTTCCTAGATAATGACACTTGGGGATTCCATGGGCAGGGCAGCAGCCTCCAGAAATGACAGCCCAGTGCTGACAGTGCAGCAATATGGGCAAGTTCTCACGAACTGCTCCTTTTATACCCACATCCATCCAGAGTCACATGCAAAGAAACGTGAGAGAAAACCTGCCCGTTAAAGGGGCTCCATGAAATGCATTCCTCTCTCTATCAGAACTGTGTCCAGTTCTGGGTCCCTCAGTTCAGGAAGGACATGGAGGGGCTGGAACAGGTCCAGAGAAGGGCAACGAGGCTGGGGAAGGGACAAGTGCTGTGAGGAGAGGCTGAGGGAGCTGGGGTTGTTGAGCCTGGAGAAGAGGAGGCTCAGGGGAGACCTTCTCACTCTCTACAACTCCCTGACAGGAGGGTGTAGCCAAGTGGGGGTCGGTCTCTTCTCCCAGGAACCAGCAGTAGGACAAGAGGGCTCGGTCTTAAGCTGTGCCAGGGGAGGTTTAGGTTGGATATTAGGCAGAAATTTTTTAGAGGGGAGAATTGGAATGGGCTGCCCAGGGAGGGGATGGAGTCACCATCCCTGGAGGTGTTTAAGATGAGACTGGACGTGGCATCAGTGCCATGGGCTGGGAACCACAGTGGTGTTGGATCAAGGGTTGGACTTGATGATCTGGGAGGTCCTTTCCAACCTGACTGATTCCATGATCATGTTTTCTTCTGCAAACACACATGTGCCCCTATTTCTCAACAAAGTAGTTTGTAGGAAGTTAATGTCCTCAGCACATCAGCCAGAAAAAAAATGATACACTGTGTACACAGAAAACTTTTTAAGATCTAAAAGAGATGCAAGGTTAATTTGGTCAAGTACAATTTGAAAATGTAAGTTTAATTTATGTTATTGGTTAGGCCACTTAAGAGAAATGGGGACTTTTGGAGTAGAGGAAATAAAAGATGTTAACTGTCTTTAAGCATTATTTGGTTTCATCTGTGAGCCATCATGGCTACAGCAACCCTACACTATTGATTTCTTATTACATACCATGACTTCTTTTGGACAGCAATAATCTGGATAAAAAATCTGTATGAAAAACTGCTGACAACTCAGATATCTATAAACAATTCTGGACTCTGCCATCAGCTCACAGTATTTCAGTGCCTTTTAACTCTGCTCTACAGCTTTTGGATAGCTCTCTGACTTTAAGAAATCTTAACACTTTCCATCCCCACTCATTTTATTCTAATGAGAGTTCAGAGTTGCCCTCTCTGAGCAAAAATTCCTCATGAGCTTACTGTGTCTAACTTCTGAGATAACACATTTATGCATCAATTTGCCTACTCTGCCCATCAGCCCTTTTGCCCTCCAAACACACATAACACTTGACAAATGGTTTATCTTTGTAAAGGGAATAACTGCTCAAATATGATAAATGAGAAACATGTCTGCAAAACAGTGTACTTAGCTTTATAATTATGTTGTCATTTAACCAATATCCAGAAATAGTTACATAATTTGAGAGGTTCATTACCAAAAAAAAACAGTAACGTGTTTAAACAGGCAGAAATGGGACTCTCTGTACCATATTTGCTATACTGCCCTGACCTTTTTTCATGTGACAAATCATTAGACGACAGAAAGGGAAGGTTACTACCACCTTAATTAATCCTTAATTAGCCTCCACATTTCCAAAGGTCAAACAGCATGTGAAATCCCTGAAAACAATTCATTCTTAGGAGAATTACTTAGAGTATCTTCAGCCGAAAAATTCAGACACCCGAGGTAAACCTTTCTCAGTAGGTCAAATCTCTGCCATAGATTTTGCTCTCTGCTGCCAAGAACTACCTAAACAACATGAAGGGAACTACCAAAACCTCTCAAACAAGTGGAAGGAAAACAAAACTTCAAATGTGATCTTCAGTTGGTGAGAAATTAGAGAATCTCCGGTTTTATACCGGTGTAACTAAGATGGCAATGTGATCCATTACAGCAATTTGCTGACACATGCTGCAGGAGAGAAGAGAAGCTCAACAAGACGAAACTTTATGAGGCTGTTTGGTGGTTCTCAGCTGCTGGCCAGCCCACTGGGAAGGTGGCTGGTACCATCCAGTGCCTGGCACCATCCAGTGCCTGGCTCGCAGCCTCTGGCACGTCTCCCTCTGCCACAGACCTGCCAGCTGGAAGCTCCTGCTTGGCAAAGGGGGACTTGCAGGAGAGTGTCAGAGAGCAGACTGCCCCTGTCAGAGTGGGAGGGAGGAAGGTGTTAAAGGGAGGGAAGGTCTTGATGGGGGCACTCAGCAACCTCAGCTCCCTGGGAAAGCTCCTGGTACCTTGCAATTATCCGCACTGCTCCAAAGCCCTGTGGGAGGAGCAGACCTGCAGCATCAGAGAAGAAAGGAGGGGCGGAAGGAGGACTCAGTTTCCAGCAATTCCTTTCCTCCCTACTCTGCGCTGTCTGCCTTTTCCTACCATAGCTAATCTTTTCTAGAGCTGAACTTACAGCAACCTCCCCAAAAGAGAGATTTTGGATGAAGAGACCGACATGCAACACGTACCATTAACATTCCAAAAATCAGATGTTACCAGGGCATTTAATCCTCCATTGGGAACTTCCAACCTTTTTTACTTTGTGGTTGCCGTGTTTTCTTCCTCTCATCAAGTCTCACAAACCCCTGTCTCCTCAAAACTCCACTGTAATGTCTACATTTTTAGCCACTTGTCCTCTTGGCCTCCTGACAAAATCAGAAGAGTTGTTAGCTAAAATTTTGTGCTGCCTCTCCATCTTTTCTCCTTACTGTCTGGGAACTGCTGCTCAAGAGCATAATCAGCAATACGATGGAATGGCTAAATGATCAGGGATGTAAATGCCAGTGATTTGGGATATCTGCTAGTTCTTTAGTTAACTTTCTGTAAGATTTCAGACAAGATGCATTTTCTGAACCTTGTTTTTTCAGCAAATGGAATAAATCTAAGGATTGGCTACATCCTTATTTACTATTCACAGGTTTCTAAAATGCTATTAAAAAAAAACCCTGAGAATTGTGCTTTTGGAATTACTCAAGTATATTTTGCTTTCTCAGTTACACCAGTTAGAAATCTATTCGAGTTTTAACCTGAAGGTAAATTACTCTGAAAATATTTCACTTTCTTCCTAGACTTAGAGAAATTGAGTTTGACTTTTTTTTGCTGTCTTTGAAAAAACCCAGTTTCATTAGTTACAATCTGCAAACTTAAGATGCAGTATCTGTGTCTGCAAACCAAATTCACACTGTTTCACTCATTTCAGAAGTAGTCTAAAAGTGCCAATGGCTGCAAATACCTCAGAACATGACTGGTTTAGTTCAGAACTGTGCCTCTCTCACCCTGCAGGAATACAGGATTTCAAGCTTTGAGCAGAGGCTGATGAACGAAATCGAATTTCGCCTTGAACGAACCCCGGTGGATGAATCAGACGATGAAGTCCAACACGAGGAAATCCCTACAGGCAAATACATAGCACCCATCTTTGATAAGAGACTCAAACATTTCCGGGTAATGGAAGGATCCCCTATCATATTCACCTGCAAAATAGTTGGAATACCTGTTCCTAAGGTAAGTCATTCTCACTGTTACCAGTAAAGAAATAAAAAACAACTACCTACCATTTTCTATACATCCCTCTGGAAAGTCTCACTCCTAAAAACATGGCTCTGTGGAGAGAGTTCTAAAAGTAATCACTTCCTTTCTAAAATAACAATATCTGCTCCTGAACACATATCAGGCCTTGAGGTACCATAGGGACTGCCTCAAACTACCTGACTGCAAGAGAAACAGAACTGCATAAACCCTCAGAAAGTCAACTTCTCAGAAAGATGAGAACTGATCTGAGATAACCAGTAACGTGTGTAGAGCCAAGAAAAGAGAACCTGACAGGTCCAGCTGTGATGTGAAGCTTTCGGAGCTCAACCTGGAATCGTTCTAGTTCACATTATAACTGATCTGCAGAGTTTATAATACTCTAAAATTTTTACTAGCTATTGGTCAACTTGTGTCATGTTCCTATCTACGTTTTTCTAGTCCCTGTTCCACTACAGAGCAAGTGTTAAGTCACAGGGGGTGTGGGGGGGTCTGATCACTGCAGGTATACTGGTTCAAGGATGGCAAGCAGATCTCAAAGAAAAACACGCATTTCAAAATGAACAGAGAAGAAGATGGAACATGCTCTTTACATATTGAAGCTGCTACCAATGATGATGATGGCAACTATACTATTATGGCTGCAAACCCACAAGTAAGGTGTTTTAGTTTCTTTTACAAAAATGCTTGTTTCACCTTTTTCTAATATATATTAATAGGAACACAGATTGGGCCACCTAGGCTAACATTGCGTGGTAACTGTATCACAAATTAGATGCTTCAGAGCATAGGAGAGGAACACGTGTAAAGGAGACTGATAGAACTAATCCCCTGTTCTTAACATATCCAGTCAAAATCATTAAGGACAATTTTCATGTCACTAACTTCTGCCCACTGACAGGTACCTTTTGAGATGTGGCGACAAGACAGACACGATATTTCAGGCAGAAGAAATATCAATTCAAGCAAGGAGAAATAAAAAGATACATCAAGTTTGGAAGTGTTACCAAACACAATTATTCTTTATCTAGGATGCAAAGATGTGGATCTGCAAATAGTTTCACCCCCCCAATACCATTCTCCTTCACCCCATGTGCTAGATTAGCTTTTTATTTAGAAGTACATCAAGCAGATCAAGCAACTTTTTCCAGTTTCAATTTTTGCTCCTTTCTAAATTATATTTCTTCTCAGGGTCTATGTGGCTGCACTGACAAGTATGCCAGTACAAAGGTACTGCCAGACAGTACCTGTGGCAGGAATAAACAAGCAGGGACAGGTAGTGCTGAAGCTGGGTCACACAGCACCACTGCTACATGCATTGCCACAGCCTGGAAGGGTCACAGAAACACACTGCTCTGGATACAAAAAGGAACTCCTGTCTCAACTGCACTCCACTGCAGGCTGATAGCATTTGCTTTGGAGAAGTAACATTTAGGCTACAGTTCAGCTACTTTATAAAAATAAATCCTAATGCATTGTAAATGTTCAGTGTTTATACTTTAAAATGAAATAAGCTATTAACCAATTATTAATTCTGTTTCCTTTGTGATTTGCAGGGGAGAATCAGTTGTTCAGGCCACCTGATGGTTCAAAGTGTCCCTGTGCGGAGCCGAATATCAACAACTCAGCCTCACAGGTGAAAGAAAAAAGTCCCTCAGACCTTTTTAATGCTTCTCACTGAAGGCCTCCAAAGTAACCAGCTACTGTACTTCTAGGCACTCACTGAACTTCTGTTCTCTATCCTAAAATGGAAGTAACAGCAGCACTTCCCCTCCAACATAGGTCACTTCTATATTGTAATATTTTTAACGTCATCCTCAAATACAGGGAAGTTTAAGTATGATTTCATTTACCTGTTGCAGTGGAGCTAAAGACAAGGGATGGATTAGCAAGATGCAATTCAGCCAAAAAGAAGGAAAAAGAAGCAAAGGCCAGCTTAGGAATCCAAGGATATTATATGATATAGTTAACTTGATAACCTTTCTAAATGGAAAATAGGCAAGAATTCAATTACAATCAGTCCATTTCTCTCTGCCCTTTTCTATAATTCAAGCTATCTGTTCATCCCTTCCCCTAACTCCTTCCCTTCTTAAGCATTAAGAAAAAAAGGTCTGACTTCCAAACACACACATGCAATTTTTGTGTTGCAGAACACGACCCCGAGTGCCAGAAGGAGACAAAGAGGCAGTTCAAGAACGCTTTTTCAGGCCATACTTTCTACAGGCTCCAGGTGACATGGTAGCACATGAAGGGCGACTTTGTAGGTTGGATTGTAAGGTATTCACTGGTTCCTCTGTTCATTCTCACTTTCCCTACCTCTGCACATGTGTGTTTGGTGTTTTCACGCTCTTTGTTGCTTGCATGAACATTTTCCGTTCAAGTTTTAATGCTTACTTTTTAAAAGCTATTTCTTGTTGCCATTGTCTCTGAGCTGATTCCAGAGATTTCTCTTGAATACATGCTCTGTGGACTGAAGAGCACAGAGAACACAACCCAGAAACAGAAGGCTCACTTGCAAGGTTGTTCAAATTACTAGATATGTTCACCATGTCCTTTACCAGTGTAAACTCCAGAAGTCCTGCTCCATTATCAGATTCTTGAACATAATCCATAATAGCACAAAATGGTGAAAAGAGAGGATTCAGCACATTGCATTGTGTTCAAACAAGTGTTCCCATTGCATTGCACTGAACTATTGAAGGTTAATACTCCCGGAGAAGAGGGAACAGAGTCCAGTTTATTTTATGCTTCCCCAGCATGCACAGATGCAGAAACATCCCCATTTACTGATTCAAATCTCAGCATGAGGGAACTGTCAGAGGTTAAAGGTCATGTAGTGAACATCCTGTGATTGAACACCCTGAAGAAAACCATCTGCTCAAACATACTTTGGTAGCCCCTCCATGTCCCAGTAGCACAGCAAAGGTGGTAATGCCACCACTCACCTTTTCCATGCTCCAGAATGTCTCCTGCCCTCAAGTGGGTAGAAACTCTGAAGCGCAACTTAATGCTCTGAGGATGAACAAGATTCATTGCTACCTCATTTGTAACATAAAGTTTACCAGGAGCATGCCAAAGAATTTGGTTATTCCTAGTTCTGCTATCCCAGCAGAGCTTGGGAAGCCTTAAAGCATGTCTAGTATTGCATGAACCAGAAGAGAGCAGTGCTCATTCAGGCAAGTTCCACTTCGCCCTTTTTCTGCTCTGTAAAATATTGTTTGGAAAGCAGTATTTTAGACATGAGTAAGTACTGCTACCCCTTGGAAAGATTTTTAACATTATAATACTCTCTAACAGTATTTCAAAAAAAATACTTAATCTGCAGTGTTCTAAAGCATGTGAGTTCAGCAGCTACAAAGCATTATATCATTTTTCATCACATTTTACAAAATATAAAGTCATTTGTATAGAACTCTTCTTCATCTCTATCAAACTCTGTAGTGTTTTAGATCCGGGGTTTTGATTTATACTCAGCACAAAAAAAAAAAAGGAAACCAGCAGATTATTAGGAGTCTTTTGTGAATCTCATATTACAAAGTTTCTTCCTTTCTGACTAAGAAAAAGGAAAGCATTTCATGTATTTTTTTTCTCTTTTTGCTTGCTTGTTTTCTCGTTTTCTCCCTTTTGGAACTGGTGAGCAGAAAAACAGAAGCTGAGAAATAGTTAAAACCCCCAAATCTTTCAGTCCTATGTTCTGACATTATTCAGATGGTATCTGGAGAAAAAAAAAAAAAGCCTACTTACAAATTTACTGAACTCTGTTTGTCAGTGGGACGTTTGTCTCGAGCTCTTTCCCTGTCTGTTAGGTGAGTGGGTTACCAACTCCAGACCTGACGTGGCTCCTCAACGGCAAACCTGTGCTACCAGACGGCACCCACAAGATGCTGGTCAGAGAGACTGGGGTTCACTCTCTGCTGATTGATCCTCTCTCCCAAAATGATGCTGGAACTTACACCTGCCTTGCCACTAATAGAACAGGACAAAATTCATTTAGTCTGGAGCTCACTGTTGTAGGTAAGAAACGCTGAAAAACTAGGCAGTGATGAAGTTACTTGTACGTGCCTCTTCCAACTTTCCTCAGGTGGTTTCCTTACAGACAAATATAAATAAAGAGTTAATGCACTGAGACCAGGAGAAACCAACAGCTACAAAACTCCTCTGATGGAGGGAAACGCACCTGGTGTTCAGGTGACAGGGGCACTCCTGTTACTAAATAGAGGGCTGTAAGAATTCTACCTTAACTCTCTTGTCTGGGAAAAATGATCCTTAATTTTCTCCCCAGAAAATCCTTAGCATTTGAATTCATAATATATGTTGAGATGTCCTAGATTTCAGTCCAAATTTTATTGAAAATGTTTATAAGTAGAAAAATATAAATCTGAATACTACTCTTTAATAAAGCCTTTCAAGATCTGAGATACTGAATTTCATAAGTCTAGCATTATTTTCCTGCAGTGGTAGTATGTTTAGATCCACCAGAGATGCATCCATTCTTTTGCAAACTTCAGTTCTGCTTATTATTTACTTTATGTTCCCTTACAGAGCCTATATCATGACATTTCACTTCCCTTCCACTAAAAATTTACTGCCTATTTTGATATCACAAGAATAATTTTTGATCATGTTCTTCCATACTGTATAAAGCAAAACAATTATAAAATATCTGTTGATCAATAATTCTTTTTCCAGCAAAGGAAGTAAAAAGAGCCCCCATGTTCTTGGAGAAGCTTCAGAACTGTGGTGTTCCAGAAGGGTACCCCGTCAGATTAGAGTGCAGAGTTGTGGGAATGCCACCCCCCATATTTTATTGGAAGAAGGATAATGAGACCATCCCATCAAACAGAGAGAGGATGAGGTACTGTACCATTATACCCGTGCTTGAAGTTTCTTGTGCCTGGACCAACTGTTTTTCCATGAAAACCTGTGTGTTAAGTACAGGTTTTTTTAAGTATTTTTAAAACAACTTCTTTCACCTACAAAAAGTTGTAAAAAGCTTGCTCTCCTGTGAGGTGAACAATGGCTATTTCCTTGGCTCAGAAAAAGGCATGGAGCATGACACACCACTGCTTCAGAGAGTGGGGACAGAGCTGATAGGCCTGATAGAGCACATGAATCTCTTCATCAAAGACACTATGATACAGTATTTTAATGCATCTTAGCACCTTATTCTCTCAGAACTAGACTGAGGAAAAAACAGTTTAAACCATGTATGAATTCAAGCTCAGAACAGCTAGAACCTGGTTTTGAGTGCCCCTGAGCATGAGCTATTAGAGCTCATCATATCAGATACAGAGGCTGATAACCAAGTTGGTCAAAAAAAAAGGCAAAGACTTTGATCCATGCTTAGAAAAAACAACCCCTCTGCTATTTCAGACTGGCTGCCCCAAAGGCTTCCAATGGCTCAGCACAGATCCATGGGCAGCACTGTTCTTGTTTGTCCTCTCTTGCCTCGCTGTTATCTTCCTGCCTGAAGCCAAGAGATGTTTTTGTATCACTATATGGACACACACCAGCACCTATACCACTGCACCCCCAGCATAAGGCAAATTATGTAGTGCAGAGAGCAAAAGGTGAATGTTCCCTTTTGTATTAGAGCTGTCGGAAGCACAAAATGTCCTCCTGACCTGAAAGTCTGTGGTTTCATTCCAGTTCATAAGGAAACAAAATCTCAAACTTCAGAACATCCTGCAACTTCGAGTGTTCTTATGTACTCATCTCTCACTTCTCCCTTTATAATGAGAGAAGAACTTGGGTTGATAAAAAGGACCAACCTCGCCCTAGACAGCAGAGGAGTCTCAGTTCTGTACTACTGAAAAGTTTTTCCTGGAAACTGCAGCCAGAAAGTCTTAGATTACCAAAGAGCAAAGGAAGCAGAGAGAATAATGAAGCACGTTTCTTTCAGAGTGTTGGTCAAATTTTGCCACTCTGTCATTTTCTTACAGAAAAGGGTGCCCCAAAAAAGCTGCTGCCTGGCTCTGGTTACTGTTGTGAAAAATATCACAACTTCATACAAGTGTTCTTGGTATTTTGTTATTCTTCCAGCTTCTGAACTAGGAGAAAATACAGTATGACTGCATGGCAGATTTGCATGAGTTTAGTTCATTGGAATTCAATAAATAATTCTAATATTAATATATGCAGAGCAACAAGTCAACTCCCACTGTCACACCATGGCTGTGCACGAAGGAGAGCAGCCAGAACAGATTTCAGCTACTCTGATCACTGAAAGCAAATCTATTGACTACAACTTTCTCCTGAGGGGAAGAGGGGCAGGCACTGATCTCTTCTCTGTGGGGACCAGGGACAGGACCGAGGGGAACGGCCTGAAGTTGTGTCAGGGGAGGTTTAGGTTGAATATCAGGGAAAGGTTCTTCCCCCGGAGGGTGGTCAGGCACTGAACAGGCTCCCCAGGGCAGTGGGCACAGCACCAAGGCTGCCAGAGCTCAAGGAGTGTTTGGATGATCCTCTCAGGCCCATGGTGTGACTCTTGGGGATGGGCCTGTGCAGGGCCAGGAGTTGGACTCAATGATCCTTGTGGGTCCCTTCCAGCTCAGCACAGTCTGTGATTCTGACACTATAAAGAAGCAGGAGTCCAAGACATTTGAGGATAGCAATTACAACATACCTATTTCATATTTAATACACATATTTTAAAATCTTGAAGTTTGATATGCTCTTGAGAAATAGTAATTCCCAAACCCTTGTTTTTCCCAGCATGCATCAAGACACAACAGGGTATGTCTGCCTCCTCATCCAGCCTGCCAAGAAAGCAGATGCTGGCTGGTACACCTTGTCTGCAAAAAACGAAGCTGGTATCATCTCTTGCACCGCTCGACTTGACATATACGGTAGGTACTGGCTGGTGAATAAAACCAATCAGAAATTATTGGCTTCGACTTATCCCAGCCCTCACCTAGTTCTTTAGTTTGTAAATTCCTGGGTGTGAAATCGGTGTCACAGGTTAATAAGGCCCCCAGGAGGAGGTATAATGATACAGCTAAGTGGCCAGACTAGCTCTGCTGCATCAGCTTGAAGACAGGTAAGGAAAGAAAAAGCTCTAGAAAGAGTTTTGCACAATATTCTCTACTCCCGTTTCCCACCTTTCAGATTCCCTGGACACATAAGCATATAAACACGCATTCAAGTTGAACCTTAACTCTGTTCCCTCTGCCACATGCCTCTGCCACAGTCCTGACCCAAGATGGAGCAATAAATTGCACACAAGAAAGTGGAGCCCTTCTTCCACAGGGCACGGATGGGGCAAACTGAGCCCAGTTGATGAGGGCTAGTTTACATCTAATACTAGGACTCAGAAGGCCCCAGCCCACTTCAAAAACTACAGCACATCATTTAATTACTCTTTTATCTCTGTAAGATGTAATAGTCAAAGCAGTTTATCTAGGGCAAGAGAGTACTTTGATCATTTAAGCAGCATAATAAAACAGAAAACATACTTTGTATTTATATATATATACACACATATATATATACATATTTTCCACAAACTGGCTGGATTATAACCAGACCCTCAAAGGCAAAAGAGACCAACGTTTTCAAACTTGTATTTCTAATTTTTTTTTAAAACCCATCTAATTATCAAAAAAAGGTCACCAGTACATCTCTGTCAGCTTCCTGCCACCTGGTGGTGATACGGGCAATAGTAATGGAAGGATCAAGAGGGGGCTGGGGAGAGGCTCATTCAAGAAAAGGGTCACATAAAAGCAAAAATAATTCCTTAGGTGCCTAAATGTTGAAAGACATCAATTAAATTTTCACGTGAAGGATTCAAGGAGCAAACAGGAAAAAGATGAAAAGTGAGAAATGTTTCCCAGTTCCAACTATCTTATCTAAAGTATGTGAGTCATACCCCAAAGTGAGTGACAGAAGTGATTTTTCCCTGTGCTATTTTGAATTCCCTGTGCAAAGAAAAATAATATGAGTTCAAGTAGAAACAAATTGAGGGTTGCAAGAAAAAAAAAAAACAAACCACATGTCCCTTTTTCAAGTATTTCCAGATAGACAGTATCAAAATTCAGCATGGAAAGATATCTCCTGTCAATGCTGAACATGTAGAATGCAGTCCCCTGCAGATGTAGATTATCAGAGTATTGAATCCTGAACTTCCACCCTTTCATTTTAACTGCTGACAGACGTATTTGTCTGATTTGGATGCAGACCTGGAGGTTTTGTATGAGTAAATACTGGCAAAGATAATATAACTATCCCTTTTCTGAAGTGTTTTAGGAATGATAACTGCTAATAATAGTAATAACTAAATAATCTCACAAAATTTCAGCGATATTTGTTCATATGGAAATGTGTTGAATGTTACTTTTAAATTACTGAGTATGTGTCTTTGGATTACATTTCATCATTTTAAAAAATAATCTAGGAAACACATTACTACTTGTAAGCAGTAGAGGGCAATCAAAATTGTAATCACTTCCTTACAGAATTTCAAAGCAATAATACAGGGAATTTAAATGCCATCAAAAGATTTTCAGGAAAAAAAGCCCTCCAGAGGACCAAGTAGTGCAAAATCAGAGCCCTGTCCAGTTTGTTTGTCTGTTCATGCTATGGTGTGTTATCAGTCTGATTGCAAGAGCTTTGGAGAAGGCTCCAAAGGTTCAATCATGAAATTTTGGACTTGGTGAAATCCACATAAACATTGCCATTGAATTGCCCAGGGATGGAATTCCATCCGTAGGCTTCAATAAAAATACTCCACACGTAAACCACGTCAATGATAATATTTGAACACGACCTAAAACAGAGAATAACACTGCTGTGCTCTCCTCAAGGATGTTGGCAGCAACTTTTCGGGTCCGTGTATCGATTTTTGTTGTGTCATTGCAAACTGCGTTAGAGGTTGATAACAGCCCGTTCTGCTTGTGTCGCTTCAGCTCAGTGGCACCGCCAAATTCCACAACAGCTCAAGCTCCGCCCCGGTGGCAGCCGGTACGCAAACCTCACCAGCCAAGGACTCGACATCTTCCCTGCTTTCCCAACTCCTGAGAGCCCTCTGCTCTTCTCATCCCCAACCCAAAAGCTGGTGGAGAGTGAAGAACTTTGAAAAACAAACACTTGTTCCCGTTACACCCGCAGAGATATCAGAACTGTGAAAAAATAAATAATAAAAAAAAAAAGAGGTACAAGTGAAAGGCTAATGGTTTACAAGCAACTTGTTTATAATTAAGTGTACTGCTGCTGCAAATGTTGCAACTAATACATCATACAAGACTTTTGCATATTATTTTAATGCAGGATAATTGTGGTATGGAGTGTTGTGCAATAAATTCAGTACTGTGTAGTTTGCTAAGAATTACATAGTAAACATAGTTTTCAGCACCTAAAAGCCAATACCACTTTTACTTCTTGAATTAAAGCTACTGCACTGTAGCTGCCACGGTAAGGATTGATGATGATGAGTTGGAATACTGCCAGTGAAAACATTGACATTACAGTAACAGCAATCTTAATGAGGGTAAACAACAAGACTTTGAATGTAATTCTAAAAAACATGCCAAATAATCACAAAGCACAAGTTAAAGGGGAAAGATGTAAGTCATTTTTATATGATTATTACCACAGAATCACAGAATATGCTGATTTGGGATTATTTTAGAATTTTTGAACTTCAGACTAGATAAATATAGTGTTACATGTAGGTACAGCTGTATACCCTAAATATTTATATTTGTGTGTGTGTGTGTGTGTACTCCATGGACTGTGCATTCACAGTGTAAGGGTTCATAAAATAAGGTACAGGGCATGTGCATAAGGTGCCAACTTAGAAAATGAAAACTCCTTTTGTCTGAAACATGTTCTCTAGGGCCCATTGTTGAAACTATTTTCCAGATGTGCTTCCTACTTTTTTCTTTACCATGTTAGTGATCATCTGTCTTTAACACAGGTGATAGAAAGCTTATAAGTTCCTGTCTCTTTTTCCTAATTTTTAATGTGCCTCTGCCATCTAGCTCATTTTGTAACTAACTGAAAAGGAATTATGATCTGGTAAACTTTTACCATCGCTTAGGAAATGATCACAAGTGCAGTGTCTACTATGAAGACAGAAAATACTGCTAATACACAAAAATTAAAAAGTTAAGCAACAGTTATGTGCAAAGAGCTAAAAAAACCCTATTGTAACTTATAATAGTAATAAATAAGGCAAATAAATGAAAGCTCAACAAAAGGTGTTAAATGACAGTGTTGTCAATATATTTAAATATATTTAGCATCTACACAGTTGCATTAATACCTCCCAGCTCTTAGACTCTGAATGTTTAAGACATTTTCCCACATCTTTAAATTACTGCTAACCCTCTTCTCTGGACATTGTTTTCAAGCATTTCTTACTTTCTGTTTGTAACATGGTTGCAGAATGCAACAAAGTCCTGATCAAAGTCACAGAAATGAAAAAAGAAATTAACAGATACTTTCATTTTGGACTATATTTGGGGTTTTTTCAAATTTAAAATTGTAACTGAAAAAAACTACATATGCAAAGAAAACAATGGGGAGTTATCTTATGAGTAAAAGAATATTGGATGTACCCAGAGACTGAGAAAGAGAGTGCCTTTCACTGGGTTTCCCACAAACACAGCTGCTGTTATTCCTAACTACTGGTTCCCTAAGGGTTTAGAGGATGTGAATTTCTTGTATTGTGACAACAAAACCATCATTATAACTCTCATGCTTTTGTTAGAAATCTCAGCAATTCACCCCAGAATGAACAGACCAGAAAGCCAAAACACATTCGTACCCTGAGACACAAAATAAGCTGCAGATACTTCCATGGGAAAGCAGAAATATCAGTTGTTGCCCATGTTGTACCTCTTCCCTGGCAAACAAAATAAAACTAATAGCTATTCAAAGTGATGCACTGAGTGACTCCAGTTATGAGGTGTTCAGCTTAAGACACATCGTGGATCTGAATTTCTCATATAGAGAATCTACTGCTCCTCTTGTCTTCACTTGTTTTTAAGGATGGCTTAGGGATTCTGTTTTTTGCCTGGGATCTATCCTATTAGGCAAGTCTAGCTGCAAGAGTGATCACTTGAAACAGTTCTTTACACAGTTTAGAAGAAAGGAATACTAGTCCTTAACTGTTGGCAAATATCTGGTTACCAGTGCTGGAATCACACTCTCAGACTGACAGCAGTAGTGGTTCTCACATTTTACAACACACTCAAAAACTTAGTGCAAATTAAAAGACCAAGTGCACAGTGCAAATACGCAAACCATATCTCTTTCCCCTTTTCTCTGCAATTTCAGTGGAATGTCTCCAAACTCACATCATTACAACCTGAACTGACAAGCTGAGGATTAAGCGGTACAATGTTTTTTAAAATGTACATTCAGTTCTCTGGAAGTGGGAGGACGAGAAGCTACTGTTCAAAGACTTTTTCCAAAGATCTGTGTAAGGAGGATTAATCTTTAGTCATTCAAGAAGGGGCCCCAGAAATCACACTGAGAGTTAGGCTACAGAAAATGGATCACCAACATCTGTCAGCTGAACATTCTCGCCTGGACAGTGTTTGCAAAAGGATCAAAATCCATCACATTTCCCTACATAATGCAGAAGTCAGTAATTTGAATTACTTCCAGTGCATCTGATAGAAACAAAATCAGAATCTGATCCCAAATGGTCTGTAGTCATTACATTTTGTTAGTTAACTGTTACAGAACACTTTTCCTCTGCATACACTGAGCCCACAAAGCGAGTCTGTAAAGGCAGCTTATGTGAAAGCATGTCAAATATTGTTAGGGAGTAGTATTGATATGCTCATTACAAGGAAGACTTGATAGAAAAAGACACAAAAATTATGTCTGTTGTTAAGGGGTGGAAAAGCCAATGGAAAAAGGCTTGTGTAAGCAGCAGAGACGGCACTGAGTTGTTTAAGTTGTGGACTTGTGAAGGATGGCACAGCCTTCCCATACTATGCTGAGCTGTGCCAGAGCCTGTGCAACTGTGCTCCTTCCTGACCAACACGGCTGCTCATCGCTGGTGTTTATTGAAGAGCTGATCTGACTCCACACTAACACAGCACTTCATTCTCTGACTCAGGGCAGGCTACTCCAGCAACAAAAATCAATGCTAAACCTTCCACTGAGGTCACTGTTAGCTATTAACTTCCAAAAGTCCATGAAACCACCCCGGTGTGGAGCATAGTGCTGTATCAGTACAACACAGAAACAGCCAGGTTTGTAACCTCCCAAGTGTTTACTGATTCAGAATCGTGAGGTTTATTTAGTTTCCCCTTTCCTCAAAGTCCTGGTTTTGTATACAATCGGAGGCACAGCATACTGGAAACAAGCAGAAATGACAGCATTTGCATTGCAATTCTAGATTCAGAAAGTATTGTCTTTGCTTCAAAATTCTGGTCCAGATGGATGCCAACCCAGCCTGCAGCAGCACAGAGGGCTGCACTGGTATCATTGGACCTCTTGCCTTAAAACTGCTGCATTGAGTTCCTTGCTTTCATCTGGAAGGTGGAGCAACCCTTCCCAATGCCTCACGTCTGCCAGTGTGAGGAGATGAGAGCACACACTCCAAACGGGAAAAGCCAGGTCTGCAGTTCTCCATCTTAATACACAAACAACTGCCAGTCCCAACTGTTCACAGTAGGTACTTCCAACAAGTCTGGAATAAGAATTCATTTAAGAACTGTGTTCTTAATGCTACCAGGTTTAAAAGTAT